ATTTATAAAAACTTAGCGTCCTTAAAGTACTTTTATACTTTTAAAAGGAGTTCTTAATATTTAAATTCTTTTTTTTTCTAACTTTTTAATTTAATTATAATATATAATAATTTATTTTTCTTTATTTAGCTTGTTTAGAGCGTCTTTAATTATTTAGGGAATATTATCTTACTTAAGTAATTATAGCTTTATTGTTTTAATAGTAAATACTTTAAGATAATAAACTTTTTTACTAAAATATAGATTTTTATAATTAATAGGATTTTTAGCTTAGAATTATAATAATTATCTTAGTATATTAGTTTCTTTTTCTAATTTTTTAAGTTTTTTAGGATCTTTATAATAATTGCTAATATTTTTTTAAATTTGTATTTAGTATCTCTAATAAGATCCTAATAGTATTCTTAATAATATCTAATTCCTTTATTTGTAAAGGAAATAAAGAAGCTATTATTTAAGTTATTTAAAGAGTTATCCTCTTTATTGTTTATAGATACAAAATCCTAATTATTATCTAAGTATTTATTTATATCTCCTTTAGTTTTATAAGTCTATAATTTGTCCTATTTAATATATGTAATAATAATAGTTTTTTTTTTATTAAATTTTATATATAATATTAGTTTTTAGTATTATAACTAAGAAGTCGATATTTAATCCCTTTATTGTCTAATTTAGCTTTATATTTTAGATTATAATACTAACTATAGCAGCTAAAAATCCTTATATATAATATATCTAAATATTAATTAGTTTAGGCTTTAATTAAAGTCTTTTTTATTACTTTAATAGCGGTATAGTTTTTAATATAGATTATATAAACCGCTGCTTCCCCCTAAAAGTATTAATATATACTAGTATTATATAATATTACTTAAATTCTTTTAAATAATATATTAAAGCTATATTTAGCTATTCTATTTTAATAAAAAGTATAAAAAGCTATAGTCTTATAAACAGTTCTATAATCTATTATCTTATTAATTATATCGCTCTAGAACTTATTATTACTCCTTAGGAATTAAATAATAATACTCTAAGTTTTTATTATATTAAAAAAGGTTTTTAAAATCTAAGGTAAACTATTATAAGTTTTTAAAAAATATTTAAATTTTTTATTAATAGTATTATAGATAAAGACATATAGATATTAATACTTTCTAAGAGTTAGAATAATATTTCCTCCCTTATTAATATTAATATAAAAGCGTTGTTTTTTTAGACTCTATCTTTAATATATTATTAATAATATTCTATATAAGAGTATTCTTATTATATCTTATTAATAATATAAGACTTATATAATTAACTAGCTATTTTATATATCTATAATTTATTAAACTTTTTTTTTATAATTCTTAATATTGATTTTACTGTCTTTTTAACTATTTATTTATTAATATAATTTAAATATCAGTATTAAAGTAATTAAAAAGCATATTTAATAATTTTTTATATTAATAACCTTAAAGTTTTAAGCTTTTTACAGTAATCTAGATTAATAATATAAGTATAACCTTTATAGTCTCTTTATATAAGCTTTTTCCCTTTTTTTATAATAATATATTTCTTATTTTTAAAGGTAATAAAAACTTTTTTTAATTTAAAAGCATTAATAGATAATAGATTATAGACTAAATCTAGTATATAATAAATGTTGTTAAGCTAAATAAGCTTAATATAATTATTAATTTTATAAAGGAACGTAAAACTTCTAATTCTATAAATATAAAGCTAGATATTATTTACTCTTTTAAAAATATAATTAACAACTTTCTTATATATCTTAAAATACTTTTTCTTCTAGAATAAATAAGTATTTAATCTACTATCTATATATAATAAATTGTTTTATTCCCTATATAGTATTTAGCTTCTAGCTTTTAAAACCTTTATAGGCTAGAAATTATTAATTAACTAATAATATATAAAGGAGGTAATATATTAAAGATAATTATTATTATCTTTATCCTTCTTCTTATTATTTATTTTTTTATTTGCCTTTTTTAATAACTTTTTATTTCTTTATATTTGTTTTAAAATATCTTTATAAAGCTTTTATCTAGCTAAACAAAGTTCTTTATATAAGTAGAAATAATTTTTTGCAAAATAACCTAAAAGATTATAGCTATAGTATTTCTTCTAATCTTTTTAATTATATTAATTATTTAATAGCTTATTCTATTTGCTATATCTTCTAACCTTTATTAAAAGAACTTTTATATAAAAAATACCTCCTTTATTATAATATTTTTAATCTATAAAAGCATTTATTATTTTATCTATAGTAAGAATACGTTTATTTAATTTAGCTTTTTCGATTATATTAAATAAATAAGGATATTAAGTTACTATTAATCCTTTTTAAAAGGCTATAAATATTTAAGTTTCTAATATTATTTCTCTTAAATTATATAGTTTAGAAATATACTTTTTAATTTCTAATTAATATTCTTAGATATTTTTATATTTAAAAATATTAATAATTTATATAGCGATAAGCTTATTATTAATTAATATAACCTTATTCTTAGTATTATATTTCTTATAAGCTTTTTATTATATTATTAAAAAGCTAATTTTATAATTAAAGAAGTAGCAAATAGTATTATAGATCTTCTATATAAGTAAAGTTTAAGCTAGATTATTTATATTTTTTTACTTAATATTATTAATTTATTTAATATTTATTAAACTATTAAAAGCTTTAACTAGTAATAATAAACTATCTTATAATAATAAAAGTTTATATTTCTTATTTTAATACCTACTATAGGCAATACTTTATACTTTTTCCTTAATTAATAAAGCTTTTATATTAATAAACTATATATTATAGTTTCCTATTCTAAGATTTTTAAACTTATTAAATAAAGTATTTTTTATAACTAATATAGATTAAGTGATAATAAAGTCGAAATAATAATATAATTATTATTAATTATAATAGTAATAAGTATAATATTAGCTTATATATTAATACTAACTAAGCCTTATAACTTAATAAATTTAAGATAATTTAATAATTATATTCTTATTATTATTAAGTTAAGAAATTATTCTATATATAGGAGGACAATTATTATATAATCTATAATTTCTTATACGCTTAAAGGAGTAAATATTATATTTACAAGGTATTACTTATTTACGTAACTTATATAACTTACGTAACACCTAATATCTTACTACTTAATTATTAGACGCTAGTATTAGGATCTATATTATTAGAGGATCTGTCGAGCACAGTCTTAGATACTATTAAGGGACTTCTAGGGGTAAGTAGGCATCTATATTGTAATTAATAATAGTAGTAATAACTTTAGACTTGAAAAAGGGAGTAAAGGTAGCAATACTTTGTTGGATTTCACACTAGCCCCCATTTGCGCTAGGCCCATTATACTGACTAGGAAATCTGCGTTTATTGTTTATATAGTATTGCCAATTCGTCCTTAGCTCTTATTCTATGTTTTGCTACAGAGGCCTACTCTTATATTTTGTTTGTAGCTAATTGTAGCCATATTAGTAGCGAAACATACTACTTGCTCCTTTCTTATTAGGAGACCTAGTAATATATCTTAGGAGAATTAGAGATACTATAGAACGTTAAATAGAGTGCTAAGGGCAAGGACATAGGCTTAGTACATATAGAAGAAGACTACTTCCTAAACACTATATATATCTTTCAAGTGAAGTCATGTAGCCCCTAGCGGGCGATAACAACTAATCCGATATAAATATAATTTTTAAGAGTAGCAAATAGGTGTTATAATTGAAGACTTCCTTAGGGATTAGGAGGTATATAGTCTACACATTAACCGCTGCAGATACTTGGGTATATCTTCTTATTCCGCTATAGTTGTTTCCATCGCTTGTACTGTCTTCTTATTCGAGCTCTTAGGAATTTATATTAAGAGACTATTTTTAAGAAAGAGAGTTGGAAAGTAGAAAGTAAAGTAATATTAGTAGGAATAAGAGTATAGAGATTATTTAGTAGAGAAAGGCTATAGGTCTTAGAAGATCTCTAGGAATATAAGTATATTAGGGGCAAAGATAAAGGAAACTAAAGATATTAATAAGGAGGGAAATATAATACTAGACTATAATAAGAATTAGTTAGTATTACTTAAACATACTAGTATATTAGTATTAGAATATAGGATCTTATAGGCTCTATTATAGTTTTAGCTAATTAGAGTATAGATACTTATTTATAAAAGTTATTTAACTTATAGTTCTCTATAGGATAATCTATAGTATATAATTAAAAAATATTATAAGTTTTAATATTAGTATATAGTCTCTAGTATCTAGAAGCTAACTTAGGGTTAATAGAAATATATTTTACCTTCTTAATATAAGTAACTTAATAATAGAAGTAGGAGGGAAAGAGAGAAAATTAAGGCTATAGATAATATAGAGTAGGAGATATATAAGGTTAGAAAGTAGCTATTAATTATAACTATTAATTATAAGGAAATAATAGTAAGTAAATAGAAAAGAAGCTACTTTAATTAATAGTAATATTATAATTACTATAATAATAATAATAATTATTTATATAAAGTAAATATATTTATAGTATATAAAATTTTATAATTTAAATAAGTAGAAATTTAAGAAAGTTTATTATTATAATATAGTATATATATAGAATACTTAGATTAAGACTTTATTAAGCCCTTTACTCTTATATTTCTAGGTATTAAATAGTTATTATAGTAAGCTTAGATATAAAGCTAATATTTAAGAAGATATAGGTATTTAATCTATTAGAGATAAAAAAAATATTGTAGTATATTAAAATAAACCTTCTCTCCTCTAGAGAGGATTAAAGGATTTAAAGATTATGCCTAAGAAGTTAGTCTATATGTTTGTAAGTTGCAAGATTATGTAATTTTTGTTATTGTTGTTGAAATTAATCATTTGAGACGTGCACTCTAGATGCTACTCGATCCGTTGTCTGTGTCAAAGTTGATAAATTAAACCTAAAAATCAGATCATGACCAGTCAGATGACGAGTCACTGGGGTAATCTTCGTAGTATCTAGCGTCATCCTCGCATTTGTCTTGTGCGCGACGCGATGGCCACTCGAGGCGCCTGAAAAGCCGACGATATGACGGCCCCCCTGAAATCCCGTCGCTTATAGCAAACCATTTTTTCACATTCTTCCCAATCTGCTCCGTTGAGGTATCAAGACTGACAAGTTCCACACCACGGAGTTTCGCAATATCGGTCAGGTTCTCACCCCATTTCAGCATGTATTTCAACATATGCTCCAATTCTTCGACATGCAATTCTTTGAGACGGGGCGCGACAGTGGTCTTATGATCGAGTATTTCTTTCAATAATCTCCTTAGTCCATCAATGCCCATGACTTCGCCACGATGTCGAGGTAGTCCGAAACCTAACTTCTCTAGATGAGGTGGAAGCTGGTGAGTGATAAGGTCACCAATATCCAAGCTCAGGTTGTTGTTGTTTTGTGACCCGGAATGTGATCCAGGGATCAATGGGTAGATGACCAGTAATTTAAGTGCTTTGAACGTTTTGAGGTCGATTGACGTGCTAAATTTGGTCGCACAGCGTTGGCTCCAACTTAGTGTCAACATTTCCACCATATCAGCTTTTTCCGCTAGCCCTGAAAAATAGTTTTCTGGCGGCCAAGTTGTGCAGTCTATGTGCGTAATCGTAACATTTCTCAATAGCTTAGAAGGTTGAATCCATGTGTCGAGCAGTTTCGATGGAAATTTCACTATCTCGAGTGATAGCGTTGTCAAACGTTCGTACCTAGGTTGTTTAGTCGCTGCCTTGGTGAATGCTTCGACATCTATATTGAATAGATGAAGATTCTCAATGTTTGGATGACAGATTAGAGGCAAATCTTGCTCTTTCAACTCCAAAAGTGAAGAGTCCCATTGTGGAAGGTGGTCCGACCAACCACATGCAGAACGTGTACAAAAGATCGTAACTGTTCGCTCATTAATGACATGGTCATGAAAATCATATGGTTGCGACGAACCTTTGCGAAGTGTAGTTTGAGGCTTTATCATCTCGTTTAGGGACTTGATCTCGTCCTCTTCTAGCGAACAATGAATGAATTCTCTGAAAGCAATATGTACGCTCTGCAAATTCGGCATCAAAATCGAAAAGAGCAGTCGAAGACCTTGAGGATGAAACTCATCGAATACAAGGTGCCGTAACATGGGAATAATTTCAGGTCTCCTGGTCAGCAGTTTCACTAGACCCATTGTGTCGTGTGGATGCCAAGTCTTGGTGAAGAAAACTTTGTACAGATGTGGCTCGATATCGTCCCGATTGTTACGACTCAGTCTCGCGATAGTGGCGAAGTCGTTTGGAGTTAGGTGATTCATCACTTTATCTACAAGCTCTTGTGGAAAGCTGCGTAGTATGAAGCCAGCAGACATCGTCCTTGTTGACGCCTCAGCTGCGTCCTTGCAAACCATGGCGTCCATTTTGCTCCTTTGAAAGGTGTTGAAAGGCTGTTGATTGAAGAAGCTTCATAATGAAAGTGAGAGAGGAGGGGAACAAAGTGAAGTGTCATTAGAAATGAAAGGCGCTAGCCACTTCAGGTGTTGACACTTGGTGAACGGAATGAACCGCACGCCTACCTGCTTACACTGCATCAGCCGCGCAAATGCATAGCGCTGGATTCATAAGGTAGGTAGAAAAAGCCACGATTCGATTTGCTTAATGACAGGGAGATAGGAAGATCAACAGACGCAGCGGTCATGGCAGCCGTAAGCGAGAATTGTCAGCTTGAATTCCAAAGTGATGCCTTGAAAGAAAAAGCAGAGAGATTAACAGGGACAGCTCTCGTGAACGAGAATACCTCGTCGAAAGAGGGTGTTAATGATTTGGACAGAATGGAGTTGCAAGGATAGTCGCAATACTTGGCTCTTACTCCACGTGCGAAGTCGCGGAGCGTGGTGTCCTATTAAAAGCTGTAGTGAACAGATGAGGGAGAAATGATATCCTTTGCAGGCATTGCAAGAGCGATGTTGTGGCTTTGATCAAGCCGCTAATCATTCACTTTAGCTTAGGAAGAACAAATTGAGTATAAGTTCTTCTTGCATCCTCTATCTACTGCTGGCCTGTTCTTCATTAGCAGCGTCTGTTTCTTTGAAAAGACTTAGGTACAAATATAATGTGTCGCTTTGAATTCTGTGGCCCTATCCTCTCAGTGATATCATCACCGTGCTAAGTGACATTCGGCACATCAGCGACCTCTTGAAGAACTCCCTGCTTGTGATTTCGCTACATCATATTTCCGAGGCTCACTACCCGAAGAACCATTGCTAAGTATTTGCGACCGAAAAGCTCAAAATCTTGAGTGGTATGATCCCGCTCTGAAATACTATCCAAAGGCTCCATCAACCTTCACCCCCCCCGAGCTGCAACCATTAGTCTCTTCAGGCAGAGCTACCTTCTTACGCCAATTTACGCCAAAAACCTCTTCAAATTAAGCACACGTAGCTTGTACATATATCAACGTGAACGTTAGATTCGTTCCATACTACTCTCTGCTGCACGCCGCGGGATTCAAGTCACCACATTGAACGATTGCATCCGAGGCAGCTTACGCTCTGGTATGGCTTCGTCTACTTCAGGAAGCAATCTGCCAAAAACATACCAAACATCTCACAGATCTTCCTAATTATTCTCGACTCCTAGAAGAGCAACGTCAATTGGAGATCGCGGCATCGCATCGCAAACAGAGCAGCCTTCGCATCCACAATCAAACTAGAGCGTAACCTTCCATGGCGACGCCATCATCCAGCCATGGCGGCAGAATCAACGCGCTGCCTCGAAAGAACTCGTTCCAATTCATGAGCACGTCACCGCGGCTAAGGTGGTGGCCGGACAAGCAAACTCCGACATAATCAAACCCTTGTCATCGCTCACCACCACACCTCCTCAAGCCGATCAAAAAGACGTAGCAGATCTGAGGATCGCAGCCCTGCAACAACGCCGAAAGACTGAGCGCGAGAAGTATCACCGTTAGGATCGCGCGCAGGAGAAGTTATGCGACATCCTGGCGAAGAAGGAGTCGTTAAAACGGAAATCGGTTGTCTATAAGGAGGTGATTGGGGAGATGGAGGGAGTGATGAGGAAAGCTGGGAAGAAAGGGTCGCTTAATAATGATGGACTCGAGGGGGGCGAGGGGAACAGGGGAAAGGGGTCAGCGAAAGGAAAGGGGGGTTTGGAGGGTGCGGAGAGGGAGGGTGAAGAGGATGTTGATAAAGCGGGGGAGATTGATGAGTTGAGGTTTCTGGGCACGCCTAGTAAGTGAGGCGGTGTTAATGGAGGGAATATGAAGGGTCTAGATTCGCAATGTGCAAGAATTTGCAGTCGATGCTAGATGGTAAGAGATTGGGGCTCCGGTAGCTCTTGCTTATGTGAGGATTAACGATATTGGCAAAGTTCACGACCGCATGCTGCGCGAGCTATAGCTCTTCACTGTATCACCGTGCCTAGGACGTATGCGATGCTTGCGCAGTAATCACATAAGCAGTGCGTCCGCAACAGGCCACTGTCCTAGACCTTTTGCTTCCTCCTTGCCCTCTAGCGCTATAAGTCCTCCGCCAGTTAGACGCTCTCCAATTCCGAACTAAGAGAGTCAAGATTTCCCTGCCCGGTGAGTTTCATATCAAGACGTGGTGTCTAGCGCCGATTCTCCGAGCTGGGGCCAAGGTGCTCACGACTTTAAGATGTCTGTGATCCGCAATACCATCCTATGAGGGACGTAAGAAATTGGCCGAGTAGGTTATGCAGCTTTACAAGCAGCGGTCGAAGACGGGGTAGGCAGGCGGCGATAAGATACATGCCAGGTTCGACGTAAGAGATAATGACGTTACCAGCCCTTACTTCTAGGCGTCACAATCAGCTACTATTCTTCAAGCCAATGCGGGTGGACCGCTTACTAATTGTTTGGCTCGTGTTCGGGTCTTGTACATACTCACGATGGACGTAAAGCGCGAAACGTGTGCACGCACTCACGATACCCCTGTTGAAATGTGTCAATATCCTAATAGTGGTCACTGCAATGGTTGCACTCACAGTGACCCCGATAGAAAAACAATAGCTAAGCCTAGTTTTTTCGTGCGTTTCATATTCGTTTTCCACAGGACGGGAAAGGGGATGATCAACATCAGAAGGTCAGTGACAATGTTAGGCAGGCTGATCCAGACGCCGAAGACTTGGCAGTCGACACATTCTGCCCCTGGATCTTGAGAAAAGAAGCCTGTGATAGGCTGGCATACGAACGCCGTCGGTATCAACCACGCAATCGCATTTGCGACTAGAAAGTTGATCGTTGAGTATGTGGTTCGTCGAAGATACTTGTTGACCCGAAACAAGGAAAGGTACAGGCAACATATTGAGATTTTAGGCAGTGCACATGCAATTGGGTAAATAACACTAAGGCCGTAGTTGGCGTTCCAATTAGTAAGTTTGTCCCTCCGGACTCCAGCAGGGCTTATTAGGTGAAGATGAGCTCGGGCTTGCCCTGTCACTGATTAGTCTATGCTCCCTAAGTAAGCTGTGGAGTGAAATTAATCACATATAGCGCAGCCGCACAATGGCAGGAATGCTATGAGAGACGCTACTGTTAAGACGTCTTCCCAGATTGAGCATCTAACGACGACTTTCTTTCTCCAGCTCATAAGTCTCAACACGACGCATCTTAGGAAGACAAGCACAGTAGTGAGGGCCGCGAACGCAATGGCGCCATTGAGCTGATTGTGCAGCCAAATGCGCTGCTGCGCCAGTGATTCTTTGACTAACATATGGCTGTCGACTGATCGCTCAAAGCAAGACACGTTTTGTATTTCTGTAAAGACAGGAATGACTCCGGCTTTCTAGCTGGGCGACAAGAACAGTTGGAAGCGGGTAATACAAGATGCGATATTTCTTTCATCTTGGCATCCCACCGGCTATGCACTCTGTTATCGTATGATCCCACCGTAGCGTTGACAGTCTAAGTCCGTACAGCGCAGGCGCCATAATGCATATGCCTTGCAGGATGATAGCAGATCTGCACCAAGATGACTCGAAAACAGGTTCAAGTGGACATACGATAATGCATCTTGGGAGTAATTCCACCCGGCAGCTGGTAGCCTGCTTGTACGAGAATAACTGCAGACCATCTGCTCGGCAAGTACGATGAGGCGGAGTTCGTATCATACATGCGATAAGGGGATCGTGCCGTAGTCTTGAAAGGGACTACTCACAATAACAACCTGGACATTCTTGCAAGGATATATCCACACGCTTCGTTGACGCAGAGATGCCGTTCGCCTTTTAAAAACCTAAGGTACGAACTTGATTGATGCACGCATTCAACGACCTCTATTATTACACCTTCCCTAGAAGCATTCAACCTTACTACGACTAGCTGACCACCGATTTGTAAGTCTCATCCAATTTGTCTCTTTCCTCGCAGAGAAGCAGACGGTGTCCCACCACGGCCACAAACACTTGGTTTGGACTAGTAAGTCCAAATCTTGATAGCCGGAAAGCTGAGGCATATGTCAGTGGACATGCGATGCGAAGTGGTGAGACCATCGTATGGTGATCAGGGTCTCATCAAAAAAATGGATGCACCTCTTGCATACATTTCCGTGCATATGACGTTACTTTGCACATGGCATTATCGTGCACACGGCGAAGTATTTTCGTACCTGTGGCTCAGCAAATCTTGTGCATACAGCAAACACAGACCACACAGACCAGCCTATGCCTTGTTTGCAAATACGCAAGCAATAGGTCAGCTTTGGAGATCGAATGACTTATATTAAACATGTCATTTTGCTACGAATTTGGCACTATTGTTAACTCAACACCTGCTCTATACACTGTCGCACGCACTCTCAAGTGACACGGCTTTACGAATCAAGTAGATGTCGATGGTTTACTCGCCAACACAGGCTTTGTCTCCTCCCGTGTGACGGATCTCTCTCCGACACACGCAGACACCAAGAACGACCCATCTCCGCTGCCGGACATGTTATTCTAACCGCTATAATGAAAAAGTACTGCCATTTGGGACTAAAGACATACTCGTACACACCTAGCCGCTGCCCCATTAGCATATATTTAAGCCGCACTCACAATCTGTTTGCAGCTCTTCTTAGCGACACCAAGGGCTACGGACTATTCTTTCCACCACGGTTATGTGCCTCGACAACTATGCTCACTAGACGGTGTTGACGCGTCGATTAAAGCACACGCGAGACGACTTTATTGAGCCAGAATCAAGCTTAGCTAGCACTTGCAGACAAGACTCGCCTATACAGTATCTAATCACCGCATAACTTCAGTCCTACGCGATAAACGTTCCTTATTCGTGAACTCACAAGGGAGGATAATGTGAATCCTGTACTAAAGAACAAGATATAATTAGCTTGACATGCCTAGCTTTAGCGTGGGAATCCCTTCTTCTACTCGTATTTTGCTAGGATCTCTCTACGCTTGTCTTGTTTATTGAGGATCGTTTGCTTCTTTCTTCCGATATCCAGGTGATCGAACTGCCATACTCCTTCACGCTATGCAGGAAGCCTTGACGGAGACCGGCTAACGTGTTGATGCTCTCGCCCCGTTTGACTTCGAACTTGAAAGCCCAGAGAAGCTTCGCAACACCAATGAAGAGATTGCGCTCCGCCGGATGAATACCTAGTTAGTGCAGACTATCAGCGTCACGTAAGAATCAACCTTTTCACGACCCTCTTACCGGGACATATCCCCCTTGCAGCACCGTATCCGTAGTGGTCACGCTTGTCCCACTTCCTAGATGCAGGATACGAGGAGGCTAGTTCAGGGTAAGGCTCGAAGCGTTCGGGTATGAAATGCTCTGGATCCTTCTATGTGTTTTCATCGTGATGCATCGCCCAGACGTTGAGGACGATCATCTTCTACGGAGCGATTGCGCCAATGGAGAGAATTGTGCACGCCGAAGCCGGCTTTCCCGCCTTTCAAGCGCTGAGGGAGGGGAACATAGAAAGCTCGGATAGGGTGCGGATTCTCACGTACTTGATGCAAATAGGGTTGGCGGCCATTCTACAAGCAAACGGCATCAGACCTCAAGCTGTTGTTGGTCGTGGGAGGAGAGGTTAGGCAGTCCCAAAGCAAATTGATGGCGGTATTGAGCAGCAAACAGCATGAAGTGTCGATATGACATCGATGCTATGAAGCGCATCACTTGCGCTTTGGAAGGATCTTGTCGTTAAAATCAGCTGAGGCTGAGGGGAGGGGCGGAGCGGACCTCTAAGCTCCGCAAAGGGACTTGGCAAAACGATGGTGAATAAATGAACGTTGTATAATATCAACCCTACCTTCACTTCACTGCTCCGCATGTATGTTAATCTCTCCTCTCCTCCGCTAGAACGTATCGAGCCCTGCACCCTTGACCAGCTGCTCGCTCTACATGAAGACAGCCTGCTTGTCTGCTTTACCTCCCCCCAAACTTCAACAGCTTGACAGTGTCACTCGTAGGCTCCTACTTCTAGTCCCAGCCTCAGTGATTTGTCCCTGCTTTTCAGCCCTCGTGGCCAGCTTGGCCGTTTCCCCTGCCCTTGACAACCCTAACTCCGTTCCACTCCGCATCACAGTGTACTCTCACAGGTTTTCATCGCGCTCTTTTCACCTCTTTATAATCCCGGGCCACCTTCTGCGACCGCACTCAACCTTTCTCCGTCGCACATCTCATCGCCATGTAAAGCGAGTCTTGGCTTATCGGAACATCCATATCGCGGCCAAGGGTCTAGTTCTAGCCAATTCTAGCCTAGCCGACGGCCTGAGCAGCAGCTAAAAGCTTGGTATATGACGTAATCTATCAGCTAAAACCTCCTTCGAGGCTCTCCCTAGAATAGTCCTCGACAATGGAAATGTTTAGCATAACACCTACTGAAGCTACGCCAAGTAGCGACGTTATTAGAGTGGGCATTATAGGGTCAGTTAGAGAGTTTTGGAACTGGAACGAATATTAATTATCCATAGATGTGGCATGGTAACTCAAGTCATTCACGTGCCCTTGTTGAACTCTTTATCCCACCTTTTTCAGGTCACATATCTCTACGATGTTTCTGAAGATGCTATGAAACACAGCCAGCTTAAGGTTGCAGGTATCTCAAGACCCAAGACGACCCGAAGCATTGAAGAAGTTTGCAATGCGCCGGAAGTGGACCTAGTACTGATCGCAAATAACCATGCTTTCCACGCATCCGTCGCAGTGCTTGCACTACAGGCCAACAAGTTCGTCTTCATCGAGAAGTCAATCGCCCTGACTTTGCAAGATACTGACTGTATCATCGCTGCCGATAAGGCTGCAGGCGGTTCGAGAGTCTTTGTTGGCTACATGAGAAGATACGCTGCGGCTTTTGTTGACGCTGTGAAAGAGGTTGGAAGTATTGGACAGATACGCTATGCTCGCGTCCGGGATATCATTGGACCGAACTCGGTCTTCGTGGCACAATCCGGTACACATGCCAGAACATTCAGCGATTATCATGAGGAGGATTCTGAGGCACTACGCATAAAGACACTCAATGACATTAAGCAAGCTCTTCAAGCCGAGCTTGGAATCCCGGTGACAAAAGAGACGGATATGATGTGGCAGATGCTCTCCATCCTCGGCTCGCACGATTTAAGCGCCATGCGAGAGATTATTGGTATGCCGAAAGGCGTCGTAGGATTCTCACCTTGTTCCATTACCGGCGCACCGTTCTGGAGTAATTCTCAAGACGGTGTAAACACGCTTCAAGACATATTAACTTTGACAGTGCAATCTTCCAATACCCTGGCTTCGCGGTCGCATACGAATCAGGTGTCGATCAAGTTGCAAGATTTGACGCCTCGATCGAGATTTTCGGTGATACAAAGACCGTCAAAGTGTGCTTCGATTCCCCCTTCATCAAAAGTTTGCCAACGACGATGATGATCAAGGAATCTTTGCCAGACGGATCGTATAGAGAGTCCACGACTCGACGGACGTATGAAGATCCTTTTGCACTCGAGCTAAAGGCGGTGTATGACTGGGTCGTTACTGGAAAGACTCTAAAGACCACTCCAACAGACGCCAGACAAGACCTCGTAATTCTGGGAATGCTCATGAAGGCTATTCCAACATGAAACATAGCTTTGTCCTCTGCTTGCTTCACCATACCTTCACAAATGGCGCTTTTTAGGATTGAGGCATAAGTATATCCCTTGTGGAGGTGACTATTATGGACATACCGTAGCACGTGAGCAACTGCTTACGTGTTAGGTGGAGCGAGCCATTGTTCAGCAACAAGTACATAGGGATACAAGCTGTCTAGGACAAATCGTAATCAACTCATATTACAACCCCACTAACAGGTGGAAGCCAATTAGAATGAGAGGTGGGAACATCTTGGCTTGGATGCTACCATCGCATGATGAAAGCGCACCGTCCAGAGCTTACCAAACAAGTGCCCCGCAGATGTTTTGTGCGACGTTAAAGCAATGTAATACCTCATGTCTTTCTCAAGCTCTGATCCTGGCTTCTATTAATACCGCCACCGCGAAAATGACGTTTTCTTCGAGAAAGCTAGCTTTTGTAATCCTGCACCCATAGTCAGAGGATCCCTTTGCTATGATTTTCGAGAGCTCAATTCTAGTCATTGCGCCATGGTCACGGTCGTTTCATTTGCAATAAGACGCCGTGAAAAGCCGAGCAGCCAATGGTATTTGTTCGCACATTCAAGTCTAGACACTCATGTATGTTCATCCTATTGATTGACAACTAATTAGCGGATCTAGCAAAGAATGTAAGCGGTGGCTAGCAATGCTCTACGCGGACTCTCCAGAAGGATCGAGGTGTTTTCCTATAATCTTTAGACAACAGCATTTGCATTGCTGCATTGTCCCCAACTAGGCGAAGTCGGAGTCCCAAATTACAAATATACCGATACGGTGTTCTTTTTAAATTAGGGATGCCATGGCATGGGTTAAATTTATGCACGTAGCCGACGGTACTAATAATAGAGCTGACTTTAGTATTCTTGGCACTTTGATATCTGTAATACCGTGAGAGCGTGCATTGGGATAGTTGATGATCGATAGGAACGGTGCGGCGAAGCAAAGCCCACCAAGAGCGCTTTATTGCTGCCATCAAAGTTCTTGCGAATCACGCATCTAGAGATCTCAATGGTGACATATTCATATAAATGTGGGTCCTTGTGTTCACCTAGCAATCGTTTCATGCGTTAATGTATTCTCTCTCCAATGAATCCTGTCCAACAACCATCCCTAGACGCTAGGATCCAATTGTCAGCCGATAAACAACGTTTCTAGCACTCGAGTCCCACCTCAATTTTCCGATTTCCACTATCACACCCATAGGTATCAACCTCTGCCCATCCTTCTAGAGGATTCCCCAAAGTGCCCTAATATGTATTACCTTGAAGTCTATTCCCACAGACCTACTATGCCCCCGCGTTCACATCATCCGCGCCACTATCCCCAGCCGTGGTAATGATCTTATACGGCAACTCGCCAGTGATCTACAATGTCTTGGTCGAAGGATTGACTGCGACTTTCTGCTACGTCACCAATGTCTTTTTCGCGGCATCGTGTAGTACCACGTCAAAAGCGTACTGATCGTGATTCCTGAGCTCATTTCTTTGATACTGGACGACATAGAGCGTATACCAGCCCTTAGCGAAGTTGTCAGGTACTGGCTCACCGTCCACAGGAGGCACGTTGTTGAAGATGCCGAAGGGGGCGCCGTTGATCTTAGGAATGCCACACTGCCATATCTTCTCTTTGATAGCAGAGTTTCCACCAGTCGTTGCACATAGTCTGCCTATGGTCGCGGAACCGTTGTGCTTGGTTAGGTTATCTACTTCGATTCTTTTGTAATTGTTTAGCTTAGGTAGCTAGATGACAGGGGAATGGAGGCCATATAGCCATCGGTAGTGTCGCTATCGATCCCACCAATTTTGTTGAGTGTTATACTATAGTCGCCGATCTTAGGATGGCTAAAAGATTGTCAGCCTAGAAGCAAAAAGTGTCAATGAGGGGGAAACGCTAGACAGTAGGAGAGTCTTATGTACCGCCCTTATAACACACTTGCCATAGACCCGCTAATAGCCTCAGTTTATCTATCTCGCCACACTGTATGTTGACTCCGCAGTTGCCCCTATCTATGGTGCTAGCTGACAAGGTACACTAACTCGGGACGTTGAGATCCTTCAGCAAAGCGTTGGCCCTTGAGCTACCTCGAGAGAAATCATTCAGAATGACTTTACTAAACGACATAGGATTCTTACTTCTGTATCGAGGCCTTTTAGACCAACTTCCCCTTCGATATAGTTGGCTGACTTTGCAGAAGATACTATTTGACCTCAGTCTTCCAATTGGCGATGATACTAGAATTATAGCTCTCGGCATTCTTGATGGCGCGGATGTCTTTGTAAAGCAACAAATCGAGAGTAGCAAAGTGAATATTAACAACAGTCTACCCAACTTCGGACTTTATTTGACTTTTGCTGCCTTTTCAAACGAAATCACTTCTGTGAAAATGTTGCTCAACTTCAAGGACCCCTTTATCAATGTTGACAGCAAAGGCATTATATTCTGTATTGCCTATTAAGCTGCTGGATTTCAAAGAAACCTAGACATCGTGCAGCTTCTATTAGAACGCGACGCAGATCTTTGTATAACTGGGGGCAAGTGCATAAGTCCACTTTGTGCTGGCGTTTTCTTATTGAAATCTAAGATAGTTGAACTGCTAATCATACATCCAAATTACAATTCAACGGTACTTCAGAATCAGTGTACAACATAGAAGCTCTCGAGCTAGTGAAGCCTTACGTACTAGTTGGGATAAATCTAACAGTTCTTAGGATCCATCTAGGGTGGTCAAATTACTTGCCGGTCACAACTTTCAATATAAGCTGTTCTCGAACGTTAACATCCCTATTGCACTATGATATCTTAGTGTTGGCTCCACTGTCGTGATTGAGATGCTTATCCGCAATACTCAGTATATTGACGCGTCCGGCTCTATGAGACTCACGTTATTCCGCACTATATGCCCGAATGGGTCTGATGAACTGGTGAGACTTTTGATTAACAAGCTTTAGGAGACTCAAGCTGCGTTAAATGAGACTAATACATTTAAGTGTACGCCCTTGCATTACGTGACAGTGAATCCGTCCCACGAGGTCTTTGAATGCTATCTTAATAAGGCAACTAGATCGATAGAAATGAAATATACTGTCATACGAGGTGTGACTCCTCCATAATCGCCTTTGCTTTAAGCTCACAGAAATATATAAATCTACTGAAGGAAAGAAAAGCCGACACTAGAGCAATTGGCGCCGATTAGATGACTATACGGTAATTCGCCATGCTAAACAGTGACGGTCACTTGAACATTTTAGAGCTTGACGACCTGACTAAGGATGACATTAATGCCGTTGAGATGTGATGCTTGAGAATGGAGCAGACATCAACAAAGTCGACGATGAAGGTCGGCATCCACTACTGGCTGCGTGTCAAAACTTCACCGGCGACGTAGTTGAGATTATAGACCCACTAGGGGAAAAAAGGCTTTCAATGACGGACAAAGACTTTGGACAGCGGACTACCTTATATCTACCTCTTTACAAATAAGCCTCAACAAGCAGCAAGAGATCTTTGCTGGGACTTCATGCGGGGCGATGATTTTGATGAATTCTCTTCCGATCGCTGCAGCGAGAATGTCAGCCGGATTCTCACTGAAGAAAAGTCTGGGCTCAATTGTCATAATAACGCCGGAACAAAACCCTTATATTTTGCCTGCTGGAGGGAGACACAAACCACAATCATTCAGAGAGTACAAAAAGGTATAAATATTTACGCTGTCAATTCACAGGATGTTACACCTTTAAACCTCATCGCCAACGAGCAATTGCGAGAGAGTGCAAATGCCATCCTGTCGATGGAAAGCTTTTGTCAGCATGCGAGGACAGAGTCCCACTGTGCAACCTGCCTTATAGAGTGACCTTTCTCATCTAATTTTTCATTCATCAGTGATGTAACGATCTTGCATTCGCATACGTGGTACTTTCACAATGACTTAACGCATTTTGATGAATTATAAAATGATGAGCAACGCATTCTTGCCGCTTTGCCCCCCCTACTGTTGAGTCTACCTAATCATAACACTTCAGGCCGACCGTAGATTAAATGGTCAGACTATCGCGTCTTATATGTCGCAAAGACGATGCCCACCGCCAATCGCATCTAGGAAGATACAGCCACAGTATAGCTCAACAATCGCATCTAGGAAAATACAGCCACAGTATAGCTCAACAATCGCATCTAGGAAAATACAGCCACAGTATAGCTCACCAATCGCATCTAGGGATACTAAATCATAGCATAGCTCTAGACGATCGTCAGTATTACTAGGCTTGGATTTGGCTGTCTGAGTGATGTCTCATTATGCTCTCATCTTACTAAGTCGGAGCTTAGCCTTATGATCGCATCGGTCATTGCAATCAAGACTATTATAGGCTATCGAATTATCATTATAAGAATACGCTGTTTCCTTGCGTGCAAGTCCTTGCAGGTTACTACAAAACTCCATCTCCTTAGAGGACGTAACAAAGCCGTCCACAACCTTTCTACTCCTGCTTCAGATTATCTTTGACCAATATCGTCGACATGAAGCTGTCAGTACAAAGCCTTAGCCGCGCAATGTGTACCGTGATCGGTTTCACTGTAAGTCTGCATTCGACCCACTCTCTCACGTTCCCAAACCCACAACGGCAAAGATAATGTTAAACGATTGTGAATGAATATAGGCGCTCGCATGGTGCAGTCCAACAATCAACGGGAATGCAACCGGAGACTTAATCGCAAGAGCCGACCTCGTCGACAGAGCAGGCAGGATGAATTGGTCTCTCCAGAACGTCGTCTGCAGCTTCACCGGCGCGGACCGAACCTCCTTCACGGAAGGCCAGCAGCAATTCTGCAACATCCTACTCTCCGCATACGGCGGGACGACCCTCTATTTCCTCGAGTGGATCTCGGAAGCCGTGTGCGAGGGCAACTCGGCGTGTGAGTTGACGATGAAAGTCGCCTTTGGCGTCGGTGGCGGCTTCCTTTACACCGAGTACGGCACGTACTGCAAGGACATCTTCCAGGAGATCTGGAATGATTGTAATGGGCATAGAGGCAGTGACCAGTTGACGATTCTTGGGGATGCGCCTGCGAATGCGAAGAAGGAGAAGAGAGGACCGAAAGACTACCAGGCGCTTGTCACCATTGCTTATGGGGCAAAAGGCTACTGCCAGGGCGATTCAAGCCCATCTAATGTCGGTGCTAGGTGCATTCATAATGGCGTCAATCTGGGCTCTCAGTAGTGAACGGGTCGAGCTTCAAGACTGAGCAGAATTGGGGGAAGAAGGAGATGATTTCCTTTGTCCAGCGTTGACATTGCTCTTTCTCCTTACCATAGTGTGTCTGATTGTCATATTTTTAGTGCGTCTAGCTCAAATCGTTCCAGCCATCATTCTCAATATGATACAACATGATGCTCAGCTATCTTCCCCTTGTGGCGCCCTTTCCGTAACAGCTTGGTTTTCAAAGACATTAATTACATCGAGATGCTCATATAAGCTTTTGGAAAGCATCCGTAAATTCAGGGTCGCGAAGTTATAAGACCTACATTCATGTCCTAGTATAACCTATTTAGGAACAAGCGCCCCTTGTAGTTGATGCAGATTGCTTTGCCGTTCTGTGGGCGATCGGGTCTGTTGGATCACTGCCGTCCATTCAACTACAATTTTGTATCCTGTGAGGCATAGACACTCATTCTAGCCCTGAATTCCAGTGCTGTGCCTTCTTTCGCTTGTGATTGATTAGGCACAGCAGACTAGTGTCCTTCATTGTCCATAAGCGCAGAAGCTATTGGCAGTCAATTAAAGCTTGACGTGACAACGATCTCTGATTGTTTAAACTTGTGGCTTCAATCGACACCAGCTCGTCCACCTCAGGCTCATAGACGTCGCCCTTCTCACGGACCGGCTCGCACCAGGGTCCTGTCCGAAAGATGGCTCAGCGCCCAGCGGATGATGTCATGCTTACCTAAGGCTCAAAGGCTCAAAGGCTGGAAATCTTGGCAAAACGCCCAGCGTGAAAGATCGCGAACAGTTGAAGGGGACGGTTCCTCTGCTTCTCACACTCGTGCGCTCTAGGCATTGTCGTATCGAGACGGCAATCGCGCTATAGCAATGAGCCTAGTCCTCGCTCCTCCTCCTCCTCGAAGACCTCAAAGAGCTCTCTGGGAGAGTACAGTCCCTTAGCCGCCTGGCCTCGAACCCCTCGCCATTATGCCAGCTCCAGCGAAGAACGGCAACAGCATATCCCCTCAATGGCAAGAAGGCTGCGCAAAGGCCAAGGGAGATTCATTCGCTGGCGGACTGCAGATGCCAGGAGGTGGCCCCTCCGTCGAGCCTGCGATAAAAGTAGAGGCCTAGGGCGGACGAGCACAGAAGGCAATACGAAGGCGGATGCGCTAGCCTCAATGAAAAAGAGCATAAAAGACCCTGCACAATCAGGGAGATACTATGAGGCCTCTCAATGGAGCTGCCAAGAGGAAGCTTTCTGCAACCCTCTCCAGCAACGCCCCAAATTTCAGGCTCACAGCGTCTCCTTGTACGACGCCCCACCCTCAGCATCACTAATAAAATGCACAAGAGACAGCATGCTGAAAAAGGGAAACAATACAATAATCAGAGGCATGAGGGTGTCTTTAGGCACTGTCTTGAGATCTTGGAGGCTGAACGATATGAGTTTGCGACGCTGGAGCAGATGTGGGTGAGATTTGTATAAAGATCAGGTGGCAAGTCTCGCAAGGGAGTCCTTTCTCATTACGAAGAGTTGCTCACTGAGATTCTGGGACGGAGGGTGGAGTCTGATAGGATTGGAAGGAGGGGAGGGATAAAAGCAGGGGAAAAGGGGAGGGGCAAAGGAGTAGGTGGTATAAAGGGCTGTGAGTCGGGAGTGAGAAAAGGGAAAGGGGAGACAGAAGGATCTGGAGGAAATGGAGAGGACAGAATGGGATAGAATAGAATAAAGAGGCTGAGAAGGGGAAGCTAAGAATAGGGGTTGTGGTAGGGCCTGGGGCAGGAATTGAAAGCATGGAAGACTTGCGAGGAAAATTGAAAGCGAGGGGGCGACGCCAAAACTAGAATGCTGCGAGGAATCATGGGAAGAGCAGCGGGCTGAGAGCGATGCTAGTGGGGGGTTATTATACCTTTTCGCTATCGTCGACGCCTGAACAAGCTCCATACCGATAGTCGCTTGTTGGACTTAGAAGTGTCACTTCCTAATGCTGCTATGCCCGCAAAGGCACTCTCAGCTCCCTAAGACTTCCTCGCGAGTCAGTGAAAGGTCGTTTTCCCTAAGGGCGGCGGGGGTGTTGGCGCTGGATGCGACTATAAGGGTGTAGTTTCTTGTGTATTAAGAGAAGGATGTTGTGGTTGTGCAGGAGGAGGGGAAGGGCAGGTAGAAGGCTATTAGGGGGTGGATAAGGGGGTGGGTTCCTAGTCCGAACATAGACGGTAGGAAGGTTGTTGAGGAGGAGGGGGAGAGGAGACCGCTTGTTTGGGGCGGAGATGTGAAGAAGGGTATGGGATGAAAGCATAGGATGATGCTGCCTATGAATGACGCAGCGTTAATGACTTAAAGTGATCTATATCTATATCTATGGCTACAATACTTTACACATCTGCGCCTTTTTCCTTCCCCCAAACTCCACCCTACTTCTGCCTCCCCTCCCCAAATTTTCTATCCTAAAACCCACCTTTTTCAATCCTCCTCTTTATCCTCCTCACATCCTGCGTGATCATACCCCCATCATCGCGTCCTCCAGCCCCATCTTTGATACTATCCACCCCGTCTCCGCAACTCCCTCCATCCACCCTTTTCCCCCAATGTCTTCCACCTCTTCCGGTTTCCCCGCCTCCCCCTTTATGCCAACCTCCTCACCCCTCCCGCCGGCACCATCTCCTGCACCTCCCTCCACCGTTCGCCACTCCCAAGCACCCATATACCGCTCCGCGAACTCTTTCCTCGCTACAACGATCACGCCATCCTCCCACTTGTTCCCACGAACATTTCTTCCTTGACCACCACCCGCACCTCCTCCTCCTTCTCCACCTCCCACTCCACCCCCGCCGCTACCCCTACCATTAGAGGAGGTTTGTAGGACTAGAAACACGTCCGGCATCGTGCGGCGGAGGTGAAAACGGCCGAGTGTGCCTTTAGGGCTCTCGCGCGTATTCAAGCCGTTTATCTGTACGCTGATCCCCGCCTCCCGATATCCTTATCCTCCGTCCGCGTTCGCAATGTCGTGAACGTTGTTCGTGGTCTCTGCGCCGTCTCGTCCAGCAAGCATCAGCGACTTCAACTGCTCGCACAGGCGTGTGTGGAAATGTACTAGCTCCGGCACCCAATCCTTCTGATTTCCTTCTTCATGTGTCTGTGAGGTGGAAGAGGAGGAAGAGGAGGTGGGGGGGGAGAGCATGACGTATTTTGCGAACCAGCCTCCCAGCACCCTTTCCTCCTCCTCCTGCCCTCCCCCATCCCCTCCTGCTAACCTCGCTTCTCCCCCTTCTCCGTCCTTTCCGCTACCAACAGGGAAAGGAGGCGGAAAGGCACGATGCGGATACCACACGCCCCAAACCTTCTTTAAAAACTCTATGGTCTTGTTTCCGCCCATGCCAGGGTAGATCATACAATCCCTATTCAGGAACGGCTGTGCATCTTCTAGGATCAGGGAGAAAAGAGTGCGTGATAGTCTTTCGAGCTCGGTGGAGGATATGATTGGGTTTTCAAGGTAGATTTTGTATTCTTTCTTTTCGTCTGTCGAGGTAGGAGAATTAGAGGAGGGGAAGGATAGAGGGAGGGTAAGCACGATGGAATAGATAAGGGAGTTTCGGCGGGCTTAGTAATAGCGGGTCTAGCAGAGGTGGGACAGTTATGCTGCTTTCTCTGCATTTCTTTGTTCTGTGCGGAAGGGGTGGTGGTAAACATTGTCTTGTCGTCAGTAGTTTGAAGAATGGAGGGTTAGATCCGCTGTGAAGACTACACTATCAAGGGTGACGCGGAAGGTAGTGACAGTAATCGCCAGGGTCAGAATTAGCTTTAGGTACGCTCTTCGTCATCCATGGTTGGGTTGTGTTTGGGGCTGCTTTTTATTCAATGATTATTTAAACAGTAAAGGAAGATTTTTATATGCGTGAACTTACCTGTTCGCTTGCTCGCGGTTCGAGCGTCAGTTGTGCTGAGAGAGTATGCAATCACGCTTGTGGACAGGAGAACAAATGTGGATAAGTACGCTGCAAGATTAGCTTGGACGAAAGCCACAATATTGGATTGGAGCTCTGACTTGCTGCTGTATGCGAGCTGTGCGCACATCGAAACACCTACGCGAGCAGTCAATGCTTCCTTCGCAAGCGAAATGTTATTGGCAAGCGCACCTACGACGGGGCGTACAGAGACCTGACGATCACATCGATTCTGTATTGCCTCAGCTCTCCACACCGTTTACATGTTGTGCCGCTGGCCAAGGTCTAGGGGCACAAATCGTCGATGCCCGCATGTGGACTCTGATGCTTTACCGTGAGATCGAGCTTCGATGGAGCCAACCTAGATTGCCCGTTCTTGTGTTCTTTCCCAAGACCGGCTGTCCTGTCGACATAGAGATCGTACGAAATGTTAAGGATATTTCATCTTTTAGGGCTTATAATCATGCAGTCTATCGCGTTGTACGGTTAACTTCACAGATCGCGATAGACGCGTTCATTTGCCACCGTGTTGATCAAGTACGAGCGCGTTCTTTGCAATTAGGCCAACAGGTCCTACCTACCGCGCGATGAGCCTTGGAATCTCTTGCGAACAGCTCTGCTATAAGTATGTGCTTGAGGCGCATGATGACTTCGATATACGACTTGAACCTATTCTTATCTGTTGACCCTGCCCCTTCACAATATCCTCCGCAAAGTTCAATTCATTCTTTAAGGTCTCGAGTGCCAATTTTGACATTGTCAAAGAGTCTTTGATATCCTTTCTTTGTCCAGAGTCAAGTCAACATTTTGGGGACAAAGCATGTCCACGGTCAACAAGTGACTATTTTATACAAGCGATCCTTTGTTGACCTCTAAAAATAGGTATGTATCTGGCCCTGGGTTTGCAACAGTAGGCATCTGATTTCGAGCTATTGTGTATATTAGCTGCTTTGCCGACCAACCTCCGCCTCAACAACTTCTTGCTGAAAAGCAAATCTACATTCTGTCGAAGTCCCAAGCCTTGGACTCAAAGCTTTGAAACCTATCGAACAGAAAGTTTTCGGCATAATGCTTCTCAGCGTTCTTAGCTCGCTCTGTTCCTCGCTTTCCAGTCTGACAAGTCTAGGTCACACGGTACATCATCATTCAATCTTTAATGGTCCACATCGCGATATACCCTCTTCAAAGTCTTTGAATCCTTTTTGCCCAGCCCAGAATGGAATCATCCCACCGTTCGGTCAGTGTCTCGTACCGAAGAAACGTGCTCACGACAGTGGCTATTCAGCTGGAGCTCTAGCAGATCTTTTGATAGCTAATCTTCCGGTCCACGTACCAAATTCCGAGGATTATAATTTGACGGTCGCTCAACAAGATGGACTGGACAAATGGCATACCTGCATTTTCCCTCCTTATGACACTCTCTTGGATGCGTCAAAACATCGAAGTGTTTTGACTTGCGCCTTTGAAGCATTTGACCATCTCTTCTTTGGCTCGTCGTTAGGGTCCAAGGTAGATCTTGGCTGGGAAGCCTATTCGAACGAACATCTTGGAAGAACGCTGTCTCCTTATCTGACTCGCAAGGACGTGCCAGAGGATTTGGATCGTCAACTCAACCCTAATCGCTTCGATACTATTGGTATTAGCCTCCCCAAATCTCAAGAGAGCGATGGACGGATCATCTGGTCAAAGGCGCGGTTCACGAAAACCTTAGGAACAGTGTTGCATGAGATGGTCCATGCATATTTCAACGTTTACGGCTGCTCGACGTGTGCAATCGTTGGACTCAGGGAAACCCCCAAAATATTCGCTTTTCGTCAGAGATCCGAATTAGGGTATGGCCACGGGACTTCTTGGGTGAGAGCACTGGAAGCAATCACCAAGGTGGCACGAAAAGTATTAGACACAGAGTCACTTGGAACGACCTCTCTGCAAACCGGAATCCTTGAAGGGAAATGTTCTGAGGTACAAACGTTAGTACTCGCTGACATTCTTAACTTTCATGCACGCAACGAGTCAGAAGCACAGATTGTGAGCGCGGTTGCCTTCGGCCTCCTTTCTAACGGCTCCCTTATTAACGGCTCTATCTCAGATTGCGACAGAGCAGCTGCTTGGGCCGTTGTGCGTGAGAAGGCGGCTACGCAAGTCGAACATTTCCGGGCCAAAGATGACCACGTTTCTGAATTGACCATGATCAGGATTCTTGAACTCAGTGAGATTCTTCTACCCCATTATAGGCTCGCATGCTATATCACAAGGGCTTTCAAATGGATCGGGCTTTTGGTGATTGTGTATTGCCTACACCGTCTTGAGAGGAGACTATTAAGAATAAACTGGCCTTTCATTGATCGACCTTGGGCATCAGAGAGGGCGGCAGTACCTGATTCCACTAAGATACCAACGCATGCCGAAGTCAGAACTGCTACCAGAGCTAAAAATATCAGAGCCCAAATGGATGCTAGTGTTGAGCCCATTGCCGAGTACACAAGAGTTATTGAACCCGAACAGGCAAAAATCATAGCTACTGAAGGGCTGACAGAGTCGAAACCTAAAAGAAGAGGCAGACCAAGGCGTGATGAAACGCCCGCGAACGCTGCCCCAACTAAAGGGTATAATCTAAGGTCACGTTGCTAGCATATCTAGTAATGTTGAGAGATAAAGCAGAGGGAAATGGCTAGGGGGTTGTCTGTACTTGAAAAGATGTTAGTTTAAGAGGATGCTTGTTTTCGAATCTACCTCCTCTCTCTTCTACCACCCTCGATGCGTGTGCAAGTCCAACAAAGTCTCCTAGCCGATCTGGACTACTCCGAGCAAGAGATAAAGCCTAAGATGATATGGTGACGAGAACACAGCAGGGAGTGATCCTAGAGTGACTGGGCTAGGTACTCCGTCATAAATATCTGGTCTTATTTAGAAATCCTAGTTATCCTCATTAATTGACTCCTATTTTGCATTCAAGTTCGCTGGAAAAAGTAGTAGTATTAGCTTCTACTTACTTTCCAACTCTTTTCATGAATACGTTGGAATGATAAATTGAAGGGCGGAATGTAAAGGAGGTGGCAGCTGGCAGTGACGAAAAGAGAAGCCTAAATCTCTAGCTCTAGAGTTCCTAGCCGATCAGGATAACCCTTGGAGCATTTTAGTCAGACTCGAGCGTAATGATTTTGGAAAGACCTATCATGTGCTCATATACGGTCTCCTTCTCCAGCACTCTACTAAACATAACCATTACATTGTCTTAAAACATAATGCAACAGACGGAATTGGAGACCTCTTGAGGTGATACGACATAGGATACGAGCATGCGGATTCCAACTCTCACACGAAGAGATTTAGCACTTATAGCGAAACAACTGTTGACGGGAAAGAAAGTACAACTTAGATCATTTATGCTGCCTTCAACACATAACCGCAAAGACATTAAGACTTAAGAAGAGGTTCTACGTTCTACTCAGGACGGTCTTTTTAGCTTCACTAGAGCGTCACTCGAGCTTGAGTAGAAGAAATACATTCACGGAATAGGAGACATAGTTGTGGACTTGGACGAGTATTACTTTCGACTATTTTATGCAGTGAAATACTGGCTGAATTGGTACCTTTGTTTGACTAGTCGACTATGTTTAGTAAAAGTAGAAATCGAGAGCGAACAGCGAGAGGCAAGGAAAAGCCCAAAGCAATTTAAATTATTTAGTTAGCTAAATTTTGTAGACGAAAGCGAAGTCAACAGATCTACAGTAATATATATCTGGCTTACCCCCTAGGACCGATATCGGACTTATAATAGATAAGGAGAATCTAAAGACCAATGTTCCTCCTATAGCGAACGCTAACTACGCCCCAAAAGAAAGACATGAGCAGCGATTCTCACTTGTCATACTCTATAGAGACCTTTACTATTCTCTAGAGCAAGACTTCAAAAAAATAGTAGAAGCTTACATAGATCATCAGATTAGTACTTACCGAACTCGAGGCAGATCACATACAAGCATAATGATAAAATCTCACATTAGATCTCTATGGGTCTCGTTTCTCTTCTCGAATGTGGGGGTGCGACAAGGAAGATCCTAGATGCAATAATCAAGAAAGCGAGAGACTTTAGACGAAATACTATGATTTCAACTTCGACCATATCCCTGTCCAAGTTAAAAATTTAGCGGTCTGGGTGGAACTATATAATCGATATGCTCCGAAAATCTGCGTTATTGGGCATCGTTCTGGATTTATTAAGACCGCAGCATTGGTCGGTATTCCTACCTTTCACCTCAATAAATAGAGTGAAAAAATTGCTCGTCGGAGGCACTTCATGACAGCGGGAGATATCCTTTAGAGGCTTATAGAAGATCGTAGATCCAGATTACAACTATTAGATGAAGTCATGGATACATTCATTGCGATAAACTCTTTACACGAGCCTAATTCTGGAGATAGTTTAAACAAAGCCAGCGAGAGCTCTAAGCAGACCGCCAAGATCTCAAATGATGGCGAGAAGAAACAAAGCAAGAACGTTAAAGCGCTAGAGAATATTTATATAGTTTACTAGGATTATAAAGATGAGCTCGTAGCGCACTTTTCATGTTCATTTGCTGCGAACTCATACCGGGGAAGCAGAACCTAACCCTGGTAAACCTAGTTGAGGCTATATGAAAGCGAAGAGTCCAGCATGGACGCAAAGAATCTGCACTAGGAGCTATACGACTAATGTTGTTGCAGTCGCTATTGACGTAGAGGCTAGTCTGATTTCTGTATTCAACTACGCACTTTTGGGGGCACTGCGACGAGTTTTGGAAGTACGTAGTTCCTAGCATCTTCTGTTCGATATTAATAACATCCAAAGATCTCATAATCAATGCAGTGATCTGGGGTGCGATTGAGCTGTGCAATTTGATTATGGCAGTATATCTGCCTACGCTTGGTCCATTGATCCCTGGCCGATCTAAGGGCACTCGGCGAGCTCGCGACAAAGCGAGTTGGATTGCAGCAATACACAAACAGGTGCCTTTGCCTAATGAGGATATAGGAGCGATTACTTAGCATTGCCTTGAGCAGAGCTCCGATCATAGCGTCTCTAGTAAATTGTCGGAGTCCTCTTGCTGTTTCCCTTTATGACCTTGAAAGACGACAACAACAACTTCACAGCCGTATATTGAGATTCACCTCTGTAGATAGGCGGCTTTAATTGCGTACCTCAAGCAGCATAATATTACCGCGTACTTTGTTAATAAATATAATCACACTTTTAGCAGGGACAGCTATTATTGTAGGCGGAATAGAAGCTTGTCTAGTCGAGTAAGATGAGTGTCGGCGTTCTCTCTCAAAAGCTTCACGCTCTTATCAAATTTTGTATTTCGCGCTTATACAATCCGTGGGATCTTGCGCCCCGAGCAGCCTGCGGCGAGACTTCGACTAGAAGCGACCGGTCCAAAGCCGTGGCAGTGAGATCGCTTAGGCGGACTTCAAGTGCTCACACTACCCCGATTACGCGGACGTATACAAGACTCCTGCGACCTCGCTGGATTCTACGCTATCACGCATTGCGAACCATTCGATGCGCTTGCGATCAATTTCTTTAATGCACGCCTCTTGAGTAGCGAGAACATGGAAACCCTCCTTTGCAAGTAAGATTATATATGCCGTTTAGAGATTAGATTGTTCTTCGAAGACGCCTTGCACCTTCGGCTAGCTGCAGGCTTGGATAAAATCCTCGGGGATTTATTTCCTAGTAAACCAATGAGATATATCTTAATACAAAGGTGGAGACTTCCTTAGTAAACGGACCTGAAAGCCTAGCATATGGCGGGGAAGATTGCGCAAGTGGAAAGTATTAGTCCAGAGTGTCTATAGTAATGCAAAGAGTCTGCGCTACCTGTCGATGTCATAGATAGCGAGGGCCAAGAACGATAAATACGAAGGCTAGTGACGAGAATGACAACCGACACAAAGATTTTTTGGGATAGGAAAGATTGGCTCTGCGATGTCATACTACAAGCGGGGGAGATTTTCGTCGACGCCTGAATAGAAAGCCATAACCGGGTTATCATATGCGACGAGTAGGTCGATCTATACAGGGAGGCAATCTTCACGGCTTCGTGACAATCTTATAACCAATCGAACTTGTCACTCACTAGACCTTCAGCCCATTCCGCGCCCTATGTCTCTTTCCAGAATCTTGGAGCGGAGCCGTCTTGACTATCTACTGTATGACCCTACAGCTTTGTGAGTCCAATGCACAACGATTTCAAGAACCAAAATTCCCTACCAGTTCACAACGATACTCCCTTGAGCCATAGTCCCACCAACCGCACTGAACGCTCCCGGCGTCAAGTCAATATCAGTAGAGGGACATGTGGCGCAGAGATCCTTGACGGTGACCACGATACTTTTGCTACCATTTGTGACTTTGACTTTCTTTCCACACGCGCCTTGAAGAGCACCAGTTGGCAACGCAACGGCCAGGTCGTCCGCGATGCGGCATCTTATCACTTATACACAGGCAGCTGAGGGGCTAGTGAAACGTACTGTTATTAATTGCTGTCCCACAAGCGCCTTTAGAACCACCTGGCGTGTAAAACCCAGCGTGACCCGTCGTACGCTTTTTAAGACCTTGTGCAGTTGGAGCTGCGAGCGCGCATCCAGCAATAAGCAGGCCGAGGAGGGGAACCTTGAACAACATTTTGATGTGACTATGTGTGAAGAGTCTGTGGGGAAACAAGTCCTTGAATCTGCAGATGGTGGAGAATTATGCAGCTTCCCCACGGGGATTCAAGTGGTCTTTATATCGAATACGCTCTCAGCAAGCTTCTAGGCCCATACATGTCCTCGACTATTGCTTCCCCGCATCTTTCTTTCAGAGACTAGTTAGCTGACGAATGACACGACTTATTTCCAGACTCTTTCGCTCAGATCCTTGAGAGAGCAGAATGTACGAGATGTATCCGAACGCCCAAGGCTTGATATTCTCCGATTTGGGCCAAATAAAGAGGGACGCGGCATAGCTATTGATAAGGTTCCTCGCATTCTCAGCACTAGTATAGACATAATGTCGAAAGTGTGGGGTTCCGTCCCTTCAGCAGAGACTTATTACTGATCGATCTATGATTGTACCCGTAAGACCCGCTAGAGTAAGCACAATGTATGGCCATCGATTGGTCCGGTCGTATAAAACTCGGATGCTAACCATATTCCCTATAAGAAAATGCTAATTCAACGTACTATCTACGGTCTATTCTACTTACACCGCTTTCAACCTCGGCCGCGTTTAAAACAAAGGACGAGAGCGGGGATCTTTCGTTCACCAATGGGAAGTAATTGTAAGGGCGGCACAGTCAATGCATTAGGCTTTGAAGGGGTTTTACAAATTCTCAAGTGGCCAGAATGGGTCTTTGTGTTGGAGAATCAGCGCGATGTCGATCCTGGATGCATGTAGATCGAAAAAAATGGGTCTTTACAGCCGTGGTTTATGGAGCTATCGATCCTCGAGGAAAACAAGCAACACTGCGGCCGTCTTGTTCGCTCTCTTAGCTTGAAACAGTGAGAAAATTACTTCTAAGATAATTAACTCGGCGGACACTTTACCTAAGTGGATTTATGACCGGGACACGGTCAATGCTTTCAATTACTTATAAGCCGAAGCTAAGCAAAGTCTGTAATAATTATGCCCAACCATGTGTGCTACTCATAGTCCACTTGGACGAAATGGCGGTGCTGAGCATGTTAATCAAACTCTATACATGATGACAGCTATTAGGGGGCATTGGCAAAGATGGCTCAGCGAGTGGCATCAGATACACAAGATAAGCATAGGAATTCTGAAGAAGAGGGGGACAGACCATGCGACTCTACATACTCTTCTATGGTGACGCCCTAACTCCTTCGTTCATAGACCAGCCTCGCAGCATCGCCAACTCAGCTGTCATTTGACAGCTGCAGGTAGGTCACCAAGATTGCAGCAAGCCAAGGCAACACTCCCTGTGATCTAGTCAATCTCAGCCCTTAGACCACCATTCACGAATGTTACTCTAGCTTCATATCCCAAATCTTGCTGCTGCGACCGGTTCCCTATATATAACGGATATGCAAAGGACTTTGTTGGACCCGGAGTGTGTTGGTGGCTTAAAGGAAAACAACGAGCTTGCAATAGGGGCACAATGTTCGACGGATGACTTTGAATGCATGTCGCGCCCGCTATCAGTATTTCCCCTGCTTGATCACACGGAGGAATGACGGAGGGAGGATCGTAGGGAGTTGATAGTGTCCAATAGAGCCAGTGTAGAGAATCATATCTGAGTGAGACTTTGTTGGAAAGATGGGCTCATGATTGACGATACTTCTTTTCCAGATTTAGCATTTGACACGAAGTGCAAGTGGCATTACTCAGTGCATACGTTAAAGGCTGCCTTAAGAGCACAATTTCGGCCAGAAAACCTTGGTCTAAGATAAAATTTTGTCGAATTTCTAATCAGAATTCACAAATCGTCAATGTCTTAACTTTAGAAAGAGACGCGGGAGACAAATAAAAGAAGCGCCCTTTGCGCAAGACCCTTTCTCGAGCCAAAGGTGGCTGAGCTGTGTATAGTCTCACTCACAATTGAAAACACCTGCAAACTCAAATACGTATCCGTACTCATATATGTATGTCAAGGCATAATGTTGGTCTGCAGAGGTACAACAAAGCCTAATTAGCAGTATTCAGTAAAGTATAACTTTGTCCAGCAAGTAAAATGTTGCAGGGGCATTCATCATCAGCTTTCTTGATCAAGTCGCTTCTGTTTGCTCGTTATTTTTCTTTTGCTGAAGCACGCGCACTCGTCCTGGCCAGTAGGCAGCCACCACGCGCTTCGCCAAATCAGCATATTCAGTCACTAACCATAAGCTCCATGTATTCAACAGATCTCTTAGTGTTTTTACTCAGCTACGAAAGTCAGGACTAACTCTCATCACCGTGCATAGCCCTCCAAATCGACATCAGCCGCTACCAGTAGACTACCGACATTATCTAACCGAGGACGCCGCCGTCGACCACTTCCATTTCACCAATTACAACCAGCATGTACAGCCTGATAACTTCTTTCTCGCTCTTCTGGACGCCTCGAGTTGGTTACTCGACACTCTCACCGAATCTGTTAAGCGGCATCCCTCGCGGCCAGATGAGGAGATCGACCGGCGCAAATTACCACACGGGTTCTCCCTAACAACTTATGATTTGACATTTGATCTGACACTTGGCCCGCGAACAATGGACTATAGGGAATTGATCCTTGCTTCGGTTATTCGCATAGATGGGAGCAGTTTATGACCTCCCAGAGTTTAACTTCATGTGCTGGGATACACCATCGGCATCTGAAGAAGTAGTATTTGAGATGGCACGCGGCAGTATGAGTTACCGAAATGGTGGCATTAGCAAGGTGGGAAACAGCACTCAAGGGCTGGTTGCCCCACTCGTATCGCGCTCTTCTACCGATTCTTCCCATATATCGAATAGGCTCCCACTGCCAGATCCATACAGCGCTCAAAACAATCCCTCTATAGATGTCGACCACTTCACCCTATCGAAATACACAAGGGAAATAGCGAATGAGCACGTCTTCGAGGCGCTCTTCGACGCTTCATGCTGGCTGATGGACAAGCTAGTCGAATCAGCACACCTTCATCCTCCTGGTCATGGACCTCTCATTGACGACCGATCTCTAAACCAGGACTAGAACCATACGAGCAGCAGTGGCCTGAAATTCGTTCTGGAGCGCGGCCCAATAGACATCGAATTCTCAGAGTTCCGCCACTTTCTGGAAAACCTGGCGAAGGTGGGAAACGAATATGTGATGCGGGAATTGTCATTCCGTCTTTAGGACGCGCCTCTGGGGCATGAGCCCAAGGCCGATTATATAGGCTTTAGTAGTCTTAGCTACGCGACAGACTCGCAGAACGTGAATACTACAATCGCATCGCTTTCGCCTAAAAGTCGTCAAGCCAATGGTGGCCTTGTGGCACGCGACGTAATATCACCAAGCAACAGCGTTGAAACATCGAATAAGCTCCCACTACCACGTCAGTACAAAACCGAATTCGGGAGGCACGGAGACTATTTCATACTCTCTAACTACGGCGCATTACTCGCACCAGATCGTCTTTTGCAAGCGCTTTGGGAGGCTTTATACGACATAGTATCGAAACTCAATAACTCGGCCAAGGATAAACGACCATATTCGGGAGAATCCATTTATTTCCGGGAGTATCCTGCTGACTATCGGCATGTAAGCTCTTATAGGGATCTGGAGATGACCATGACTCCAGCGCAGCGGGGAATTGATTACGACGACTGGTTGCACGTGCTCAAAGTGTTTACGGATACGATTTAGCGGTATCAAGTCCCGGAGTCGATTTCACGGTATAGGACAGAGATAGTGAGGAGATGATGGCGACGGGGAGTGTTCGACTATCAAATGCAGGAAAGACGGTCAATAGCACGAGTGTTGAGTAGCGACTGGGATGCAAAGACTGCCGTGCAGGTCAAGGAGTAAGGCTAGTTAAGACATGTGTAGCATCGCTCGGTGAGAACCATTACAGTAGAATTCAATCGTCCAAAAGCCTGAAGCCATCCAAGACTCTGTCCACTGCACTCCCTCGCCCCGATTCTCCTCCCTCTGCCTCGCCCATTCCCTCCCAGCTCCTATCCATCAAACCACTATCCACCTTACACCCGAGTCCCACACAGCCCATCCCAACATCGACCCCATCAACCTGAACAACGAACGTACACTCCCTCCTCCACCAATACTCCCCCTTTGCGAACTTCAGCCCGCCAAGCGCTTCGCTCAGGACGCCCCACGTGATCCAAGCGTCGCCTTTCACTTGGAAAGTTCCATCCCCACTCAAACAATTCCCCCAATCATACCTCCCACCAACCCTAATGCAGCCAACCAGCCAACACCTCGTCCTTTCAACGCCTCATCAGCCGCACTCGACGCGCCGCTGCTGCCAGCAGGAGCCGCAGCCGAGGTCGCGCTCGCATCGGCATTCATGCTCGACGTAGGCATGCCCGTCGACGACGCCATCGACATGCCCGACGCCATCGACATATCCGACATACTCATACTCATACTCATACTCATACTCATACTCATACTCGAAGACATCTCCTTTGCCTCGCTCGCAGCTACAAATACCCCGCCGGCGACCGCCGCGGGGGACTGCGTGGCCGCACTCATAGCCGCTTGTTTGTAATCGTCGAGTTTCTGATTGCCGCTGCATACCACCCCATCAATACATTATATGATATATTCCGGCAAAGGCGGCGGGGGAGCGAGCGGGCGGGCTTAGGGGGGGGGACTCACGGCGCATTCACAACCATAGCCATACCCCTATTACAATGGCCCTCGTAGCCACAATACAACCAGATCGGATTAGTATCGTTAACCACGACATTGAAGGTCTGGTCGCTCTCTGTCCCCTTGACTTCCACGGTGCCGGAGAAGATGCCGCCGGCGCTAGGCACGCACGGTTTGTCGAATGTGCTCTGCGCGACGTTGTGTTCGGGCGGGTAGAAGTGGAAGGCGAGCACGTCGCCTTTGGCGGCGGTCACGGTGTCGGGGGCGAAGTTCAAGCCCCCGGATCCGACGTCGATGTCGATCGTTTTGGCGAGAGCGGCGGGGAGGAGAGCGAGGAGCGTGAGTTGGAGGTTGCGCATCGTTGCGGGATGGTGAGGGTGCGTCGTTGAATAGTGTGGAAAAGGAAAAGGAAGAGGGGAAACGCAAATCAGGGCAACGTCACGGTCCTTATGTTGTAAGCGTATGCGGGGAAAGAAAGGGCCAGGTCCAGGCTAGACTAGAATAGGGGGACATGTGAGTGAGGGCTGTCAGCATTTCCCCTTCTCGTTGAATGGCTTGAAATCCCACACGTTATTGGTTGAACAAATGACCGGTGCCGCCGCTACGTGACCCCTAATCTTCTGTTGAGTTTAGCGTCGTGGCGGAGTCTGCAGGGAGCTACTGCGCCCCAATAACTGTGATGGACGGAATAGGGGCCCATTGGTCTAGGGCTTCCTAGTTATTGATTATTAACTAGTCTCGCACTAGTCTCATCCCTAAGCGAGGCCGCTTATTTTGTGCACAAGCAAGGCTTCGTAGGCTAGAGAGAGAACTAGCTAGAAGAGTACGAGGTCCAATGCGTATCTGATTAAGATACATGAAAATCATGTTAACAACAACAAATAACTTTATACTAATATAGGAGTATTTATTTCACTAGACCTTCAATAATTAGATATGCTTATAAGTAGACTTGTTGTCTACGTCTCTTTGTAGAGCGGTAACATTTCCTTTACTAGGTATCTAAGCACAAGGATAATGGGCACTATTCTATATAGTTAGGACTAGCCTAACGGATCAGAACTCTTGTAGCCCCACTTAAGAACAGAGGATCACGGCGAGATCGTGTACCCATTGCTCCACTTCTTCGATACGCTGCTCCATTCGCTTGATCTTCATCTCCCGCTCCTTATTTTGCAATAAAGATCGCTTCATCTTCGTCTCTAGATAGTCTTCAAATCCTAACAAAGGGGACATTAATCCTGCCGTCGAGTGGACTGACCACTTCGTCGGAACCAGCATGACGACAAAGCGCTTGTTTGGAATCTATGGAAAGGAGACAACAACGATCATTGTGTCTTAGGCATCGTTAATGCTAGATATCTTTCAGAGCGACTCCTTGTCCTCCAGACCCAGCACGAATCAAGTCGTTGATTGTAATGTCAGGCAGCACACAGTCTAAATATCCCACGGGAATTAAGAAGCTACGTTGTATTGTTGGCTTTGCCTAAATGTTTTCATTTTCTGCGAATCATTCCTTTCAACCCGCCTACATAATCTGCGGCGATATTGCTCGAGGAAATAATATAAAAGCATCTTCTTCACCTTAAATTAGAGATTTTGAGCAACATCATACTCTCATTCTTCTCTTTCCTAAGCACGAAGCCGAGCACCCCAAGCGCAGCAGACTCAGGCTATTAGAACCCCTTATCATAGATACCAAAGCCGTCCTGACGCGGAAACGACATCATGGCGGACCGCCAATCACTTGTGTTTCCGGCGCTGATCACAATAGTATTGCCTTTCGTGATAGGCTTACCTTTAGCGATCCTCAACCACAACCCCTGCTGGTTGGATCACCTCCGCTAGTGAGATGGTTCACTGATCTTCTTCAAAATCTATATCCTTTTCGCCTTCACTTTCACCATAATGTGGGCCTTTGTAGCGGCCTCTTTAGGCTTGGTTGTGGCAGTAATCTTGGCCATCGGTTTCATTCTTGAGATCGGATTCAAGACGCTCACTACACTTACATACTTTGGAACAGCGTTTCTCTAGGTCTCGCTGACCGTGATGCTCCCTAAGGAAATGCGCCTCCAGATTCAATGCTAGATGGAAAAGAATGGCCTTCTACGTAGCAAGTACGCTCAAGCAATCAATGACGTCGACGATGGGATTCGAGCGTGCCTAAACGATCTCCTTAGCGTTTCTCGTCATTAGTACCGCCAAGCGATAAGCAGTCTCAGTCGTGAAGTCAATGGACGCTTGAACAACCTCTTTACTGAGTTTGAGGAATGGTTTGAATACCGTCAAGCGACTACGTTGATGAATGGGGTCCCTCATTAGTCGACTTCTCCTCTAAGCCTAAAGGTGCTATTAATGGATTTTTAGTAACACCTGAAGAAGCCACGTTTGAACAAGAGGCTAGAGACTTGGCGAGGCATATAACAATTGACCTGCGACATCGATAGCAGAAAAACGCAGCCAACGACAAAGGCTAGCGTTGAGGAACCAAACCTTAGAGGCTATCTGCTTCACATTAGCCCTTAGCACGTTTGTCCTTAGATATATCCAAATATAGATAAGGCAGCAATTGTAAGCAAGAGTTATATCCAACGTAATGCAAGCCTTCCAAAAAACAGAGCATATATTTACTGCTATGTTCAAACGCTAGGGACTCCAACAATTTTAAGCTAGAATGCTGCTTCTATGATAAAGCTAAGATAATTGATTGCCCTCGCGTCGCGCTCCAAGGCGCCTTTAATAAACCGTCCTTTATAGTGAGCGTTATTGCGTTGATAACTAGACCGGTAGATGCTAGGCTCAACCCAAGCATATACATTAACATAGTCTCTCAAATGAACATGTTTTTGAAAGGCTTCTTGCCTCAAATCGCGACGTCTTTGACCTTGCCGATCCCGGTTCGGTCAAAAAGATTGCTTAGCTTCGTCATGGCAAGCCAGAATATGAGTATAAAACGCTTCGGCCGGTGTCCTCTATCAGTAGCTTTTATGAGACTTGTTTTATTACCTGTTAAGGAGCGTGTCGCTCCTTGAGAAGGCATACAAGTCTAAAACCATTATCGTCGAGAACCTTTACGAGTTGTTGGACTATGCCTTCTGATTGGCACGGTTGTGATCTTCGCCTCGATTTAATCTTATTCGACCTTGTTGATGCCTAGGCAAATTCCGCGTAGCGCTTAAACATATCGTATACAAGGTACACACCTTCATCTTGATAGCGAACATGGCTTAACAGAGTTCTAGGAGTTGAATCGCTGATTATTTTGAACAAAGCAATTATTGCTCCTATTGAGTAGCGACTAGACATCATCGTGTCGTAATGTCATAGCGACAAAGATCCACCTCTGCAGGAAGGACAGTGCATATACGTCTTGCCTAGTCCGGCAAACACCCATAAGATCACTGCTGCGGCAATCGCGCGACATAGAAGAATCAAAAGCTTCGCAAAGGGTAAGTCTCTCTAAGCAAGATAATAACGTTTCGAAGACTATGTTAGCTCTCTTGCTTTTCCCGGTGCAGCGTCCCAAACACACTTCATTAGTCCTGTTCTAGGGGTGCTAATGATGGTCATGTGTAATGCGCCGCGAAGTTCTCTAAAAGCTCTGCTCTACGCGCCTATTCAAGACAATACCCAATGGAAAGATACTAGGTATCGGTCGATCTTCGTTGAAAACTAGACTGAAAGCAAACTAAATCTACTCATTCTCATACCCCCACCCTCCTGCGTACCAGAAACTTCTCTCTGACAGTAAGATGAGCTTCTCTAAGCTATCATTTGGCAAGACTCCATTGCATTGAAGCCTGTATTGTGGAGATGTTGGTCATTGTCTACCTAAGATGTACGGGTATGATTTAGCCCCCCAATCTCCACATAACCCTGCCTCCCCTTTATTAAAGACCCTATCTCTAGTATTCTACCCCTGTGTTTAACTACTACCTTAAAAACTACCGTAAAGCCCTATCTTTACTTTCCTCTCCCCTGGGCTTTTACTCTCCTAATAGCTCTTTTTTCCCCTTTCGCTTTCACTTCTGTATCCCGAAGCAGCCTCAACACCCTTCACAACATCCTCAAAGGTCACTTATAGTATGCCGCTCATCCTTTGCTACCTAATTATTTCTTCCCTTTTTACTCCCAACTTCTCTTACGCCAGTATTTGTACGTTACGTGCCCCTTGCGATCCCTCAGTCGGGCCTGTTGACCACCATCTCTTCACGCATGCTTGTGGGCTCATCGTTTTACGAGGCATTCGGGCTAACAAGAGGAGAGGTTTTTCATACGCAGAATTTGGAGGCGTGGGATGAGTCGGGAGAAGAGGATGCGGACGTAGCAGAGCAGGATAGGGCGGGGGAGGGCGGGTAGGGGGTTTGATAGGGTATAGTGATGCGTGAGAGTGATATGAGGGAGAAGGACGGAAGAATGGGAGGAAGGGAGAGGAAGAGGGAGGGGATGAAGGAGGGGATGAAGGAGGGGAAGGTGGACGGCGCAGCTAGGGAACATTTGATTGAGAGGTTTAAGTCGTCCTCATCGACATAATATGCCTTGAACAGTGCCATCAATATCAAGACTTCTCATCTTGATTCATTGTGAAGGAAATCTCATCAATCGAAACCGTTGAAATACCCCGAAAGGACGCTGGAGGAAGTTCTCTCATACTATCCCGTGGCCAAATGCTCTCGTGAGCTATGGCCTATCAATACGGTGTATTAACAACCTCCTCGAGCCCTTATCTGCATCGTGCAGTGACCCACCTCAATGTGCTAGCAGTAGCAATGCTCTCAAGTAGATGTCGAAGAGATGATTAGGAAAAGGCCCAGTTCGAGCAGTTTCCTACGCAGGGTGGTGGCGGTGGGTGACGGAGGAGATTATGATAAATGACAGCGGGATAATGTCGTATTGTATTTAGCTAGGTGAAATTTTGTGTGAATGATCATAGCTTCCCAGCCATGATAATGATATTAACAAAGCAAATGCAGGTGGTAAAAGCCATGTCGAGCAAAACCGCAAGCGAGAATGCTGTTTTGTCGATCATCTTTGACTCGCTCCATAGTAGAGACCTCCCCATCTAGAACTCCTTACTCCGCGCTCAATTGCCCCCCGCCTTGGAACATCAATGATTAGCAACATCAAGCCGGATACTGCTTAGCCCCCTTCAATTACGCCCCACCACGATTCTCGCTCATGCTTTCGTCATCAGTAGCACTATCGTCGAGCATTGCGGGTCTCTGGTCCGCCTCTAGTACTTGATGCAGATGCTCGACATCGCGAACAGTAATCTCGCGATAACGGCTAACATCCCCCGTATACTCGCCCGTACAAGAAGGGCACTTCACCTTGGCCTTACTTTCGATGTTATTGTGGTGGGGCGTGTTCTCCGGCTCACAGAACTGCCCCACCCCAGCTTCTTTCTGGCGTGCACATTGCCAGGTTGCGAGGTAGACGTGCGTTCCTCTGCCCGTGTAGGTGCATTGGTGATACTTCTTGTAGCTAGTGACACACATAATCAATGTGATGGATGGTGTTTCTCAGTGAGAGCAGTAGGTAAGCCTGTACCGTTGTTAGTAGTGATTAATACATTTTACGACCTGGGCAGAACTCACGTTGCTGAATTCCGGTCACTGCGTAAGTTGAGCAGAGGAAGAGAGGTCTCTCGCAGGTAGAAATTTGGTTTTAGTGGCTCAAGGAACGGAAAGGCCTGGTGCGGCTGGTCTTGCAAAGGGATTCTGGAGTCGTAAAGGGATGCTAGAGTCGTAAGGTGATCGTAAGGTGGTACAAGAGAAAGTCGAAGCATTGTCCTAATGAGGCAACTGCAGGAAAGCGCGCTAAGAGGAAAGTAGCTAGCCTAGATAGGTCTTGGCTGACGTCATCCGCTTGGCAAACTTCGGCGCGCAAACTTCGCGTTTCTCTTGTTTCACTCTCACAAGCTATAGCGACAATGTCTCGATATGCCTACCGCTGGAAGGATGCCGATAAAGCGATGATCCGCATAGATTCGCCGTCCATGCAACCATCACAACATGTGCACGCCTCGCCAAATGCTGCTTTGGACTCACTAGCAACGCTTCCACTAGAGATACTCCACGACATTCTCTCCATCCTCGACTTTCAAACATTGACTACACTCCGCTCTCTCAGCAATGCAAGCTGTAACATCGTCGACTCTGTCCCAGCTTACCAAACACTCACGACATACGCTCTGCCAACATTGCAATCGCTGGCTCGAACGCGTCTGCTCCCCTACTTCTCTGCCAATCACCTTCACACTGCACTGCTCAACGATCGATGCACCAACTGCGGAGACTTTGGATGCTTTCTCTTCTTGCCAACTTGTTCTCGAGCCTGCTACATTTGCCTAGACCATAGTGCTCGATTCCGCGTCGTCGAAAAGGCTACCGCAGCTCGTCTTTTCAGCTTATCGAAGGCCAACTTTAGCGCTTTACCAACCCTTCTCAGTCTCCCTGGAGCGTACGGCATCTCGCCTGGATACAGCCGAAAACAACGAATCAAACTCGTGAGCGCCTTTCAAGCCTTTAAAGCCAGTGACATAGCTCGCGCGATCCTGGAGAACGACGGCGTCAATCACCTCGATACGGACCAGATACTCCTCAGCGCCACGGCTCAAGCTCTACGGACCAACAATCGCGAAGACACTGAAAATGCAGCATCCCACAATCTTCACATCAACATCGAAAGCTTACTCTCTCGCAGTGACTGGTTTGGTTTCACGTCCACCACCTTTCCCACCCTCAACGTTACGACTTCACAATGTCAAGATGGTCTTTACTGCGTTGGATGCCGCGCACAGCCGAAAGGCTTGATCAAAATCCGAGGAAAGAGAAAAGCGTCTCGCAAGCTTTCGAAACGGTGGACGCAGAGAGCGTACTCTGCCGAAGAATTCAGCCAGCATATGCAAAAGTGTCGGTGGCTGCAGTGGATCATGGAGCAGGATCGCAAAGGGGGAAGAGGGCAGAAATGTGGTGGAAGGCTTATCGTGGGTGCACCAATGATAGGTAGCTTAGAGCTATCAGGTAATACAGCGCTCGATCACGTCGCCGATGCTTACCTTCACACCAGCTCCACTGCCCCCCGTCACGTTACTCTCGCTCCCACCAAAGCAGTCCAAGATGACCTCTCGCCTTGCAACCCACATTGCACCACCTTCACGCTCTGCCACTCGTACATTCCCCAGGTCCCCTTTAGCACCATACTCTCCGATATACTATGCTTTTCCTTCAACTTCTCCGTTACAAATGCTACATTCGCTCTGCCTTCCGCATTACTCATGAGTCCGGCTCTGCGCAGGATGCATGGCTTCCATTCGCCATGAATTCGATACCAATTGTTGATCTCAAACAAGAGATCACAGTTGAATGCATTGTCAAGATTGGAAACCTGCCGACGTCCCATGCTTTCCCTCCCGCATCATACCTCTCTGCATGTCGCCGCTATCTAGCGGCGTCTCAAATCCACCAATTCTTTTGAGCTTGATGAAGGGCAACTTGAGGCCAATTTGCTTCTTCGCAACGCGACTAGCACCCTGTCCAAAGGACCGCGTCTAAAAATTTATCTAGTTCCTAGAGTGAGAATCCAAATGCGGTGACAAAGCTGCATCACGATACCTAATCGCTGTCGCAGGCCTCGCCTAACGTGAGGAGATCTCGCTTGCTTTCAACGCATGCAAGCTGACAATACAACATATCGTCTAGAAGTATATCTTGTTCCCAACCATTTCGTTCGTCTCCGACTATCCCTCTCGCCATATGCAACTTCTCTACCAAGCTTGCATCCCAGCATTTGTCTTTATCCTCTATCACCCTCCACGGATAGCCTTTCCTCCTCAACGAAATAGATCGATCGATTCAACCCTTGATCCAACCCAGATATCATTACACGCGGTGCAATACACTTTAGATGCCATTGGCGGGGAGGGTTGGGTGATTCGATAAGGCGGCAAGTGCCAAGACTATGGTAAGCGATTACTACCCTCACCACACAGTACGGTCGGCGGTTGAGCATTTAATACATAATGAAATTCTTTTGCCTCACGGTATTCTGAAAATTCTTCCACCTCTACGAGATATATTGGCCAGACAGATTGCGCTTCATTACTATTTGAATTCTAGCGTGTGCGATCTATCTGTCAAGCTTTGATTTCGGTAAGCTGTCTTAGAGCGACCTCTCGTCAACCCTCAGCAGCTGGGGCAAAGACATGACCTTATTCCCCGGTGCTTTGATGCAAATAGACGTTGAGATATGCGTCTGCTCCACACGACAAAGCTCGAGCTATTCGACTTCCTCGACAACGAAATTCCACCCTACGCAATTCTTTCGCATACTTGGGGCGAAGACGAGGTCAGCTACGCAGACTTCCTGACTGGCAAACGCAATGCCAAAATCCTACGCGGCTGCGAGCTGATAGCGTCCGAGTCGTGGGAGTACGTGTGGATTGACACTTGTTGCATCGACAAGTCCAGCAGTATGCGCGCGCCGATTCGTGCTTTAATCCACGGTGCTTGCTGACAGATAGGAGGTGCGGAGCTTTCCGAAGCTATCAACTCCATGTACAGGTGGTATCAGAAGTCTGAGACCTGCTACGTCCATCTCTCAGACATTCACGTGAAGCCCCGCACTTCAACCAAGCCAAAGCGTTTCGTGGAGACCAGATGGTTCACCAGGGGCTGGACATTGCAGGAATTACTTGCGCCAAAGCGGGTCGTATTCTTTGACAGCTGTTGGGTGGAGATCGGTAGCAAAACGAGTCTAAGTGATGCTATTTTCGAGGCGACACGTATTGAGCCTGAATATTTGACCTCGCCCGACACTATGCTCCAAGATGCCAGTGCCGCAATGAAAATGTCATGGGCGTCAAAGAGAGAAACAAGCAGGGTCGAGGATATTGCGTATTGCCTCCTCGGTCTTTTCAATGTCAATATGCCACTTTTGTACGGCGAGGGCGAAAGAGCCTTTCAGAGATTGCAGCACGAGATCATTGGCCGGTCGAGCGACGAGTCAATCTTTGCTTGGACCGATCGGCGGCCAGTGATCCAGTGGGAGATGTTTGCCGCCCACCCTTCGGCCTTTGAGAAATCCGGGGACATTATACGGTCGGCCAATGATGTGATATCTAGAAAAGGAACTTTGCCTTATGCGTTGACGAACAAAGGCCTTCAGATTCACCTGCCAGTTGTTGGTCGCAAAGAATCCCATCTGACTTCCGATGAGTGGGAGCTCCAACCCATCGAAGACGACGATAAGTACGCGGAGGAAAGGGTGGCTCTTGCATGTCGTCGACGCAGTCAGCCTGGCACATGCCTGGGTATTCGCCTCTCTAATTTCTCTGATGGTGGGTCCTTGAGATTGCGATTTGCTTCGCTCCAGACCTACCAAGAACGTGAAAGGCCTCTCAAGGAATACTACGTGAAGACCCATGACCCTGCGCACACGTACATCAGACGGTGTCCATTCCAAGGCGAAGTCGAGATATTTATGACACCGGCTGTTGAGGATGAGCTGATTTCAGTAGATGACGTGACGCATGAACATCAACAAGAGGTGGAAGTCTGCAATGGACAGATCTACTTCTCAGCGCAGTATGAGTCGGATCAGAAAGTCACCCACGAAGGCCCACAAGAGGTAGGAATCCTTGACGGCAGCATAATCTACCCAGGCTGGTCATCCAACATGTCTCGACGACTCGCATTTACGTTCAAAGACGGCTCCAACCTGGCACTTGGATGGCGGCATCGCTCAGAACTGGTCTCCTGTCCATCAATCATTCTTTTACAACTCATCAATCCCAACGACGATGGAGCGACAACGGAGAAATTACGAATGCTAGATATACTGACTTTTGTCTCCGATAACGAAAGATTCACAAAGATGTACAACGACCTGACACAGCAGCTTGATGAGCGACGGGAAGTACTGCTGGTTCTTGACTACAACGACAGATGGCATCGATCTTTAGCGGACGGTAGACAGCTACAGGTTAGACTAAGGCCCGCGTCATCACCTGGAAGTGAGAATTTGCATCTGCAAGTCGTTTTCGACATCATTGAAGTGACCTATGACTTGATTCTCTGATCGCTCCGGTACTACTCCCGGCTTCTAGATCCTCTGCAGCAGCGACAATGGCATCGAGCTCACTTATCCTCGCACCTTCTCGCCTCCTCCGCCCGCAACTAGCCTAAACACTAATATCTCATTCGACCCTTCATTTCCGCTCACCACAATTCTCGTTCCGCGATCACACGGTCCATCCTACACTCAAAAATCAGTCATCATAGGATAACCCCGCTTTTGCGTCTACTCACAGCTTTTGCGTCACTCTAGCCACCTCTCTCCACTCTTGCTCCAACACTCTATAGTCGCGGTCTGCCTTCTCAACTGCTTTTCTGCCGCGGAAAAGTCTCCAGATCAATCCATGCGGTTGCTCCAACTCTTGGTCTAGATTACAGATGACTTTTACAAGCCGGCGCTGATCGGTGTTGAGCCTTGCGACGGTAGCAGCGAGCGGGCCTGCGCGGACAGTGGGGATAGACTGGATGATGTCGAGGGTATCATTGAGTTGGCAGGTGTGGCGGAGAAGGTCTCGGAGCTTGCTTTAGACTAATGCGCGGCGGACAGAAAGGTCGGTCTTTATCGCAAAAGGCTTTTGCAAATGTAAATAATGCGAATGGAGGCAAGGGATACTAGACCGCAAGTACGAGAAGGCGTGATTGCGATGCAAGTGGATTAAAAAAGGTGTGTTTACAAATTCGCAAATAGGTTGGAAGGCAATCATCGTAGAAGGCAGAGGAAGGCACAATAATACGAAGGTTCCTGAGTGTTATGAGAAGCCTGGCATGCTCCGTTACTTCATCACGACGCGGTGATGCTACAGGTCGAGCGACGCCAACAACACCTTGAGCAGCAGCAACATTGAAGAAAATGGCCACCTCCTATCCTTGTTCTTATAAGTAAAAGGCGCCAAAACGAAAGCAGAATCGCTCGAGTGGCACCAACTCAATCGAAACATTTTTTCGGCGGCTGCCTTTCGCAATAAGTCGCTGACAAGACAGCATCACGGTTGATAAAACATTTTGGCGGACAGGCCTCTCCAAGTCAGGAGTCAAAGTCTTCTGCCCGATTCTAGGATTGGGGTTAGGCGATGATGATGATGCTCAGGGATATTGAGGAGATGGTGCGGCAGCGATGCTGCTGATGGAAAAGAAGGCTGTAAGGGCAAGAGCGGGAGGGAGGAGTTCGGATGGCGGGAGTTGGATGCAGTATCAAATCAAGCGGATTGTGGAGTGGGAATACGGATGACCTGATATGTGGTAGTGCAGGATGGAGAATGAAGGAAAATGAATGCATTCTTTGAGAACTGGCGATCTCCGCCATCTATCTGCATGTGGGTATCATGTCGCTGGTAAGGTTGTGAAAAGGGAAAGAGAGCACGCTTGGTAAGCTCCGCATGTAGTCATCAGCAGGCCAATCAGCCAGAAAGCAAGCACATTCGATCCTCCCCTTATAATACAGCCCCTACGCTCTGGAGCACCTCAAGCCGCAATCGTATCCTGGTTCAGGATCTGGTCCTCCCACCACTTCATGTAGTCTTCCCTGCTCCAGCGCGCAAGGCGCTGTATTGTCGCGATGACTTGGAAGAGTCCTCTGATGGTACCTGTGTTGCCGACTTGCTGTCCAATATGGACGAGAATCTCAGTTTCGCTTATCATGCGCATCACGAGCAGGGTCCAGCTGTGGCGTTCGGTCAGGATAACTGGCATAGTAGGCAGATCAGTCCATTGAAGTCCCGGATTCAGCAGCTTGAGCTTGGTGAACTGCGCAAGCGTCCAGACGGCGAGTTGACAAATTCCCTTTGCGCGACTCCGAGCACCTTGAACTTTGGTCTCAATATTGGTAGCGAGGATTGTCTTTTCCAAATCTTTGGCATCCGTCTGGTTGAGGCAGTTGCTGGAAAATATGGTATTGAGCTTGGCCAGAGTTTCATTGGGTGGTTCGATCAATATTGCGAAATCGACCATAGAGCCATCTTGTGCTTTACCCGACAATGGAGGTTTTGCTTCCTTCGTAATCTTATGCATCGTGACATTTCTGTACCAAATATGGGTATCCTTACGTTGCCCTTGCAGGGCGAGACGCAGAATCCGGGAATGTACCTCGTCATTCCAGCTAGGTTCAGAGCAATCTTTCTCATCACATTCACTCGCTGCCGCAAGAATCTTCCGTAGCTCTTTATAAAATTCATCGATAGCTTCTTGGCCTCCCGGTAGCTGGACGGGGCAGACAGAGCCTTTCAGCGTCACGTATGCCTTATTACGCTCTGCCGCGAACATGTCTGGGAATGCGTGTGCTTTCAATTCGTAGGGTATGATACTGATCCCCTGGCCTATCTGCAGGAGATCTTCTGTGAGTCTCTCTAGACGAGGAGGCGGGAAGGGATAGTCGGCGGCGTTGAACGAGGCCTTAGTGATCTCAAAGCGATCGGAGTGTAGGTAGCTTGATGGTGTAGTGCTCGCGTGAGGGATGAATCTCCTGCTTGACTCGCTGCATCTTCCCCAATCTCCACGTCACCTAGGTCTCATGGTAACCCCAGAGCGTCATTCTCCTCTATGAGAGCCGATGATGATAGTGCGGAAGAGCCAGCTTCGGATGATGGGGCCTTTTCGGCTATTCGACGGGAGGAACGTGTAGGTGACATATGTGGAGAAGATGGAGCGCGAGCTGGAAGGCTGTGGTCGGTATGCAGGTGTGGTCTGGGAGTCTTATCGTCATCGTCGTTGAGCGGTTTAGGGGGTGTCTGCGGCTGGAATGCTACTAGATTGGGCTTCTGAGGGGACTGGTTGCTTCTAGGTGCCATGATATTTGATGAGATGCAGCCAAGTGCGGTGCGTATAGGCAGGCTCTGCTGTTGTGTCTTCCTTCTCTTTCTTGAGAGTTCGCTCGTGCTGGCGGGATCGCAGAAGAGTGAGGCAGGGGATGGCAGGGAGTCGAGCCAGCTGAGAGTGCGAGAGGTAGGTTTACTTGCACTTGACATGTTTTGAGACGGCATGACACTTCAATGACACAGATAGCGGTGTTGCTGAGGTGGTTTTGTTGTTGTCCCCTCGGTCGTCCTGCGTTGATATCGCAACGTTATCGATAAGAGATGCCAAGCCGTCCTCTCGCAAATCTGTCGGATGTCCTTTCCGAAAGATACTCATCCTGTCCACCAACGTTCTTTCTCCTCACGAGCGTGCCTCAATAGCATCACAACGTGTTGAGGCTCAGCATCCTTTGCATTTGTAAGCTCGGTGATTGGGCCCTCTCTTACCGGTAAATTGCAAACGATCCGTGACTTCATAGGTCGTTTGTAGCAGTTACCTACATGTCTTCACACTATTATTTCTATGCTTAAAACGGCTAAGATGATTCCCGCAACTGTAGCATCGCGCGTGGGGCATAGCTTTATACGGTCTTGCTATCCGAGGACCTACTCATGTGTACCCAGCTTCTCCGCTCGTTCTTCACATTCACGTTTAACAAGGCCGCATCCGGAGATCAGGGCAGAAATAGACTGAAATTGGGGTATTCCTTTGTCTTAAAACGGGGAACAACTTGCCAAGATGCTGGTAGGCGGATAAAGAAGATAAAGAGCAGAATTTCTCCATCTCCTGGCTGAACTAAATTCTTGGAATTAACTCGCATCCTTTCCATTTTCTCAGATCACTTGATCCCTAGTTTCAGCTAGCACAATACCTATCGGTCACATATTTGAAGCTACATACTCACCAAACTTCGGCTCTCTGCACCACTATGACGAACACGAAGTATCTGGATGTGCTAGAACTTGTCTACACCTTCTTAGCAGGTCTATGCGCAGCCCCTGTAAGTGTATTTATCTTTAGGAGAAACTACATCATCGACCGCTGGCTATCACTCGAGACGCTTCTTTACTTTTTAATCTTCTTTAGGCTCGATTCTCTGCTCACAACTTCCTTGCCTTTGCGTGCGGAATTCCTCTTTTGGTGTGAAGATTACCAAACTCGCTAGCTCATCGGCCTACTCTGCAGCTACAAAGCCTGGTGTAGCGTTTGTAACACATTCTACAGTATCGACTTCTTCAGTTTCCTCAATACGACCTACCATGCCCTCGTATCACGTAAAAAACCCCTATCCCCTCTCAATCGTCCCGAACGAAATGCACACTCGGTCGCCTGTTAAACTTCGCGCTGTGGTTCTTTTCCACTGGCGTTCGCAATTTCTAGACTAGATCCCCTGGCTCGAAGTCGCCAAGTTCTCTGGATTAGCCGCTACTCTTTCGTGTTTGATCTGGCCCTATGTAGATCTTCACTACGGACCCGACAGACATGAGCGCGATTGGCAATGGTATCAAGACACTTTCGAACACATGCCGACGACGCGTCGTACAGGTACAAGTCCGCCGCCGGAACGTCTCGGCGCATCGTCGTCGGCGGAGAAGGAGAAGGAGAAGGCTCCAGAGCTGCGGAAGACACTAGTGGCGTCGGGACAAGAGGGAGAGCGCGATGAAGCTCATGGTGTCAGTGCTGTAACAAGAACGGGTAAGAAGGGGGAAAGGAGGAGGTTAGTGAGCGATGAGCTTTCGAATCAGCTCCAGTGGGTATTGGAACTGTCGATAAGACGATCAGCTAGGGTAGCAGGCCAAGAGAAGGGAAAGGGGAAGAGGGCAATTCATGCGAGGATTAAGGATGAAGGGGAGGGCTGTGATTGATTGATGAAATGTTGTGGTGTTGGTGATTATAGAAAATAGATTCAATTACTGAGGTGTTCAAGGCCGGTTTTTGAATATGCGCATGAATTTCGAGGGAGAAGGTTGTGAACGCTGATCTTGGATAGGCTTCCGTGATGCAACACAAATTTCAAGCTGGAGATAAAACCCCACAACTAATATTCATCGGGCTGCTAGGAATTCGAAGTAGGTCAATCTCATTGTTCCCTGCTGTCTCAACGCTAGGGGTTGTGAGTGCGGTCGCTCCACGTCTTTGCTCTTGCAGAGAACTGAAGACAGGTTGCGACAGAGTTATATATCCTATGGTTGCCTAATACTAGGCGTGATTTGGGTGGCGGATCACAGGATATAGATATGTCTTGAGCTAATGGAGCGGCACAGATTGATTTCACGCTATAAGCACCTGTCACTATATCACTAACGACGTTACAGCAGGAGACTGCAAGACTGGCAACGGATATTCATACACACATGATCGTTCACGAGAAACCGCTTAGTCCACCATCAGCCGGTCAACGTCAAAGGCTCCAAATTAATGCGCACTCGCTGCTAATAGCGTCCAATCTTGGACAAGCGAGAGTGTAAGTCATTCTCGAGATGGCCATCTGCGCTACCATTATAACACCTGGTGTCTCTTCTTCACATAAGAATTCGAATGCGAGCGTCGGCAAATCGTCTTGTCCACTTGCGGGCTTGTTTAATTTGGAGTCTACGTATTGCAATAATGTCGATGTATGCAAGCCCTGAATATGCTTTACATGAAGACTCTCAAGAACAAATATTAGTAAATTTGAAAATTCAACAGTACGATTTAGCTAGTTGTGTTTCCTTGCTCTGTCGATCGTTGCCCAGGATTCTAAGCTCAGGTGTAGAAGGCTCTGTGAATTGGCACTGCCAGTCGTACACCACATAATTCTGGATGTTAGATAACTTGACTTCAAGAGGATTAATGTTGACCTTGAGAAAGCCTACAGTTAACCCACTAACTCCTAGTTCCTTGCCAAATAGATTCATATCAGGTCTGCCTTACTAGCTATATCATGGAAGTGGATGTATAAGCGAAGCTCCGCATCATATCGCCGTCACTTATCAACAACTCAAACTCAAGACTATTCTGTTATGACTTGAGGAATACTTCCCACCGTAGGCTAGTAAGAAATTGATCTCCGCAGTAAGACACTATCTCAGCAAGAAGTGCAACACAGCCTTCCTCCTTAACCTCGCGGATGCGGCTTTCAACCTCGGTTGCTGTCATACATACATTTATGGCAAGCGATTCAGCACCGCTTGCAAACTCCTTGGGAATACTATTTCAAACGCTAATAGACACCAACTACAGTTATAGGACCTTAGCGCTATAGCTTACTTAGGATCCTCTATGACAGCAGGCCTTTCATAGAACGCTCCCTGCTCACCTGACTAACGAATGCTGCGCTCCAAGGGACACAGATAGATCTTATTACAACGATGTAGGTGCTTAAGAGCACTATTCAAAGCATATAGGTTACATATGTCACTAACATAGGCGTGAAAGGTTACTAATTCTACGTTAAGAAAGATCGGCGGACTTTTAATTATTATAGTAGGATAAGCTAAAGTTTAGAAATAATTAGTAGTCTAACAAGCTTAGATATAATAATGTAATAAGTTATAAATCTAATATTAATTATATTAGCCTAGGGTTTAAAGGTCTAAAAACCTTACTACTAAGTGTCTACGCTAGCTAAAGACTAACTCTCTTACTAGTAAAGCTATATAGCTACCTTTAAGCTAGTTAAATCCCTTTATTAATATAGCTTTAAAGTCTATATTTATAAATCTATATATAAAAATAGTAGGTAAATATTTTAAAAGCTTTTTAATTAATAGAAATAATTATAAAAATAATAGAATAAAAGTTATTAAAATATTATATAAAAGCCTAAGTAATTAAGTAAAATAAACTTTTAGCTTATTAATCTTTAGTTTAGCTAGATTCTTTAATAATCTAATAAGCTTAAATATAATAATATAATAAATTATAAATTTAATATTAGCTATACTAACCTAAAGTTTAAAAGTTTAAAAACCTTATTACTAAGTATTTATACTAACTAAAGATTAATTTGTTTATTAGTAAAGCTATATAGCTGTCTTTAAACTAGCTAAACCTATATTTAAACCTAGTAGTTAAATAACTACTTTAAAAAAATAAAGCTAAAAGGTATAGCTTTTTAATAATAGCTATATAAAGTAATAAAAAATATTTAAATATAGTTAATAAAAAATTTAATAAGAAATTAATATAATAAGTATAAGCTTCTAATTTCTAGCAACTTAAAAGCTAAATGTTATAATTTAATAAGCTGTTTCTTTTAACTTAAGTTACTATTTCTTTTCTAAATAAATATTTTAAATAATAGCTTTATAAGCTATAGTTCTATAGTATAAAGCGTAATTTATTAATAGTAATCTTTTATATAAATAAGCTTAATAATAGCTAAAATAGCAAGAAATTAGCTTAGAATATTATTAAAAAAAATAGGTAATATAGTAAGTTAACTAAATATATATTATTATTTATTCTAGTAATATATAGAATAATATCTTTTTAATATAAGTTACTTTTTAAGTTTAAAAATTCTAATATAAAATAATTTTTATATAAAATAATTAATAACTTTATTAGATACTAGTAAAAGAGATTAAATATTAAATTTTTAATATTATATATAATTTTACTTAAATATAGGAAACCTATAAATACTAAATAAAAAATAATATATAATAAAGCTTTATTAAATCTAAATATATTTAAAGTTTAAATAATTTTAATTAATATATTTTTAATAATAAGTTATTATTTTTTAAATATTATATTTATTATAGGTTTTATAAATTTTATTAATAATATATTTAACTAACTAGCTAGAGAACTTATAATTAAAATAGTTATTACTAAGTCCCTATTCTATATACTTTAACTTTACTTTTATAAAATATATTTTTATTATTTTTAGCTAAATTTAAGAATAAAAATAATTAATAAGCTATTTATATAAGTTTTTCTTTATTGCTAGTATAATAAGTTCTAGATCTTTAAATATATAAAATTTAAAGTAACTATTATAGATATTTATATATATAGTATATATATTCTTTACTAGGCTATAGTTAAGAACTTTAGCAAGCTTTAATAAAATTAAAGATTAGGATTATTAATAAAAAAGCTTAAATACTAATATAGCTATAATTTTATAAAGCTTATTAACTAAAAATAATTATTAATAATTTTTTTAAAATAAAAA